GCCAGCCAATCAAAACACATCGTACAAAAGCATGAACAGAGCAAGACAAACAGGACATTCCAGCAGCCGGGTGCTCCGGATTCCTCGCCACGGTTCATCTGAATCGGAGGGACAGAGGGAGACAGAGAGAGAGAAAGAGCTGGAGGGCCCAGTTTGGGGAGGAGGGAGGGTGGGGGAGAGGGGGGGGAGAGGAGGGGTGTGAACAGGAAGCGGCGTCCAGATTATTAACTCTAAAATGATCCCCCGGATCTTTAATGAAGTGTCCTTGAGCAAGCCACCCACCCGGGGTCCGTCCTCACACACAGTCACGAGCTCACACACACACACACACACACAGTCTGTCATCCTGGCTCCCCATGTAAGATAACACTCCTGGAACACCTTCTCACACACACACACACACACACACACACACACACACACACACACACACACACACACACACACACACACACACACACACACACACACACACACACACACACACACACACACACACACACACACACACACCACACACACACACACACACACACACACACACACACACACACACACACACACACACACACACTCACACTCACACTCACACTCACACTCACACTCACACTCACACTCACACACAAACACCTAGAGGTGTCATCCTGGTGCTATGTGATCCAAGGGCCAAAACGACTGTGAGAAAACAGACAAGACATGGTTCCTTTCAGACCAGATGCTTGCTGACAGACAGCACATATTATGGCTCATCCAGGGATTTCAACATCAGCCTGCTTCTCTTCCTGAGACTCTACTCTATTGTCTTACAGGATAGACAGACAGCCATGAGAATCTACTTGAACGTGGGACAGCGGAGACCCTGAAGATAAGCTGCACAGGTTCAATAACTGCAGCATGTCTCTCTTTGGGATTTTCCACACTCCTTCGCCGCACACACTAGAAGTAGGGACACGCATAGATTATCGGTAGACACAAACTCTCTCTCTCACACACACCCTCTTGATGTACCACGTGAATCAACAAAAAAACTCGTCACACACAACCACCGTGAAGAAAGAAACAAGAGACTTACTCTAATGATAGAGTCGATAGAGATCTCGTATCTATCCTAGAGAGAAGAGCAGAGAGAGAGAGAGGAGAGAGAGAGAGATAGAGAGAGAGAGAGAGAGAAGAGAGAGAGATCCTCTCGCTAGCTATAGAATATCTCTCTATGTCTATCTCTCTATCTCCTCTTCTCTCTCGCTCTCTCCTCTCTCTCTCTCTCTTTCTCTCTATCTCTCTCTCTCTCTCTCTCTCTCTCTCTCTCTCGATCTCTCTCTTCTCTTCTCTCTCACACCAGCAGAGACACATCAATCATCTGTTGGTGCCCCAGGCTTTCCTCAGTTCCCAGACAGCCTGTCAGTCAGTCAGTCAGTGTGTGTGTGTGTGTGTGTTTGTGCATGTGTGTGTGGCTTCGCTCCAAGCCCAGTCTGTAACATGAGACATGGACCCTTCGCCACACACAGTGGGAAATATTTGGGATGGTTTCCCTCGGAATGTCTTGGCGTGTCTGAGGAATGTCTCTCCCCCTCTAACCCCCCCCCCCCCCGTTCCTCCCCCCTCCCCCCCTCTCGACCGCAGAGACAGAAACACTGATCCTAGCCCTGTTTTTCCACACCAGACAGATTCTGAGAATAGGATAGGACTACCTCCTCAGCATTAATAAAGACTAAACTCTTTGAAACACACACACAGAGAAGATATTCCTGGAAATTGTTACACTGTGAAAAAGTGTATGTGTGTGTCCAGATTGTGACACACAGAAACACCCACCCAGTGAAGGTTAAAACGTGTCTCATCCTCTCACATTCTACCTCTTTTCTATTTTCCTCAGCCTGTTGCCCCCTTTGTAGATCAAAGCTCATAGCACAGAGTTTTCGAATCGCCACTCATCTCCTTTCTCTCTCCCTTCCTCCACTCAACTCCCCACCTTGCACTGCCACTCGTTCTCGATCATCGCTCCCCTCTCACTATCTCTCTCTTCCTCCCCCCTCTCTCTCTTCTCCCACTCTCACAGTGTTGCAGTTCCTGTCGCACTTGTTTTCACTTCCCCACTCTCGCTCTATGGCTCGTGGGAACCTCAGTTCTGCAGTGCTGTGCGTCTGTCTAGGGCTGGGGTTAGGCAGGCAGGCGAGCTGATGTTTGTCTCACTGACCATCTTCACCATGGCTGCGTCCCAAAGGGCACCCTTTTCCCTACATAGTGCACTACATTTGGCCATGGGCCATAAGAATCTGATCAAAAGTAGTGCACTATGAAGGGAATAAGATGGTATTTGGGATGCACCCCATCTCAACACGTCCCCAAAAAAAGGCCGGGGCAGACATCTAATGCATGCACTCAACGAAATTGTGCTTTGAAAATATAGATTGGGATGGGCATGGCAGGGCCAGAGTCCTGCGTCCCAAATGGCACCCTATTCCCTATGGGGGCCCTGGTCACAAATAGTGCACTATAAAGGGAATAGGGTGCCATTTGGGACACAGCCAGAGCAGTGTTGGAAAGGGAGTTAGGGAGTGGTGGACTGTGAACCTAACTCTATCCACCTATCCCCTCCATGGAATTCAGGGAGCGGAAAGATATCAGAGATTAAATGATATGGGCAAGTCAAGGTTAAATATTACAGATATCTGAAAGGATAGACAGGTCACCGTACAGGTCACCAGAGCAGAAGTGAAACCTTGCTGCATACAGCGATATGACTTATTTAGGGTAAGAACTGTACAGCTCAACCCATGCCTGGAAGGGACTCCTCAGTCCTCTTTGATGTTACTGAAGGAATCACAGATGATTTCCATGACTAACCCACCTTGGGAAACTTGGTTATCGTTGTGGTCTGGCACGGATATATACAGAGACCAAAGGCAGGCAGACTGAAACAATTATCTGATGTAAGCTAACATTGCCTTCCCATCACTGCATTCATCTCACAGAAACTGTTACAGATAGCTACCCCTTTTCCCCCATATAATGGCTGTCACATTGGTTGTTTCACAAAATGCTGCAGTATTTGGAAAAGTCCTGCTAAAGAAAGTTAGAGTTGAGAAGGGAATGATCTCTGGGTTTGTAAGACTGTGGTAAAGGTCAGCTTTTAGAGAAGCAAAATGGAATCCAATCTACAGTATATTAGTATCACTGGTATTTTAATGCATTTCCATCACGCCCTATTTCTCTCTCTCTCTCTCTCTCTCTCTCTCTCTCTCTCTCTCTCTCTCTCTCTCTCTCTCTCTGTCTCTCTCTCTCTCTCTCTCTCTCTCTCCCCCTCACTAACTCACTCCCACTCCTTCTCACACACACAATAAAGTAGACACTCACTCTTTCTCTCTCTTTCTCACACACACTCAGATACCCAACGTGAAATAGCCGAAAGAGAGTGGGAAGGAGAAAGAGACATAGAAGGAGCGAGACATACAAAGAAAAAGGAGATTACTGAGATACCAGTCTTTTCTCAGGCCGTGGGTCGGCAGTGGAGGGGTTAATCATTGGCCGTGTGTATCAATGGGCCACACAGGGGGTTTAGAGGGGGTCCAGGACCAGGAATGTCCTCAAGTGTCTCCCAGAGAGAGAGAGAGGCTTTCAGGGAAAGGGGGGTCTGGAGGGGGGTCTGAGTTGAGACGGGCTGGTCAAGAAAGACACTCATCCACTGTGTGTGTATGTGTGTGTGTGTGTGTATGTGTGTGTGTGTGTGTGTGTGTGCGCCCATGTGTGTGTGTGGAACAGGGGCGCGGGAAGAGGGGGCTCAGTAGGGTTTTGGTGGGGGTTTGAGTTGAGGCTGGGACTGGTCAAGAGAAAGACACCCATCCACAGCTAATCAAAGGACTTTACAATCAGATAACAAAGGGGTTAACTTTGCCTGGGTGGGCTTTCAACACACCACCAGCCCCAGGGGTGCAGCGAGAGCTCTCACACACACGCACCCTTCTCGATATCAACCCCTCTCCCCCTTTGTAGCACGCATTCCTTCACATGACTTGACCTCTCTCATCTTAACTTCGCTCATTGTTTCACCCAATTACAGTATATATGGCATTTCACCACTGTTTTATATAGTTGAAGTATATCTGTTTATCAAGACGAGAAAGTTGCTTAGTTTATGACCGTGGTTTTGCATTGCAGCTTCTTAGGGGTTAAATTGGGAAACCGAGGGTAGCAGATCTGTTTCCAAAATGTATCGCTTTTTTTCATGATAGCCTTTAGCAGGAATCTGACCACAAAACAACTCTCAGACTAAACTAAGGTCCTCTCTCTTCCCAAACTAGCCAGATACCGTATAAGGGGAGCAAGCAGTGTGGTCAGAGACAGAACCATTTGAGACAAACAGTCTCTGCCTGGGACAAATGGTGGCTGGAGGCCTGGGGGGGGGGAGATATTTGTGGAGTAGTCAGTAAGTGACCACTAGCTCAGAAGGCACAGGTGGTTAAAGATAAGTTGACACATTTGAGAGGGAAGGATATGAAGGTCTCTCTAAATTCTGTTCTGTAGTCTGACTGACTGAACCCCATTGGAAGAGTTCTCTGAGCCACACGAGCTTAAGGCTTGGACACCCCAGAGTACTTAGCACCTCTGAACAGAGTGTGGGCCGTAATTTAGGAAACCAAGTGCAAACGGCTGAAACATGTAGAATCTTTATTTTGTAAAGTGGATTTTCCAACACTTAATACGCATAAAGTAGAAAACAACAACAATTGATCAATACATTACCACATTTCCAAAGTAAATGTAATCGTTATGGATCTGGCCCCATAGAACAGTTAAGGGATATGCTTCTGTGTGTATAAGGGGATTGAATTTGACTAGATGTGGTATTACCAAACGAAACAAAGTCTAAACATTAACCCTCTTATTTTCATACATCTTCTACCCCCTCTACCGCTTCCATTTCATCCTCTCTCCAACTCTTTTCTCTTTCATCTTCTCTCTATCAATCTCTTCTGGTACGCTCTGTCTGCATATTTCACCTTCTTGCTCTGCTCTAAATCCATCTCCTTCTCCCCCATCCTCCTCTCTGCCCTCCTCTCCTCGCTGTGCCTGGGCTCTCTCTCTGCTCTGTCTGTCCTGTTGGTTCCCAGCAGTCTCCTCCTGTTTACAGCACCCAGTAAATATCCCATTGTTCCAGTGATTACCACAGAAGGCACTTCAAACATTATGATTCACAGGAATCTGGTCTCCAGTGCGACTCTATCTCTCTGCTACTTCCTGACACACTCAGCTCCATTCCACCATTCCAGGCCATTACATTTGTCTTAAAGATACTGTACTGGACATCCGCTTGAAGGACAAATGACTGACAAATAACTCTGCTAACACGTCATCCCTATGTACATGCCTGACTAACAGCCGTGTGTTATTCATGCTGTAGCATGTTTTCAAAAATATATAATTCATGACTAATAAATTAAACATAACTAAACTAAACTACCATGAGCTTTCATGCCTTATTCCATACATATCACCCTAGCAACCAATGTTTCTTCTGTCATTTATGGTCATAAGAGATTCACACCCTTCTTTAACCCTTAACACTCTTTGGAATTGGTCTATATGGATAGGGCTAATTGAAATGTTTCTTACAGAAGAAATATGAAAAGCATGATGCATAACCATGGTAGAAATTGAAAGGGAACAGTTTGGAGATTACGGAAAAGTATTAGACCAAAGTTGAGGACACAACAGTTCACCTGACACGAGACCGAATCCATACACTGTTGATTTCATGTGCATTTTACATGTACCATACTTTGACGCATTTGTTGATAACGAAATCAAAATACATTTAGTAACATGATACGAATATTCCTGGAGAATGTGGGGTAGGTGCAACATAAGACAAAACAAAGGGTTTGAATGAAAGGACTAACTAAGTGGCCACACACCTCTCCAAAATGTGCAAAGTTCCTAAGTAATTTTAATGCACTTTTATGACTCAAAGAACAATCTTCAACTATAATATGCTTTTTTTTTTACTCTTCAAGCTGTGCGGTTGAGGAACCAGAGCAAGCACACTTGTAGTGTTATTGTTTGGAACGCAACCCTGCATCCACGTCATCACACAATTACTGTTGTTGTTTACGCAATCCAAAAACATTAGAAATAGCAATCTGGGTTAGGCATCATTTGAAAGCTTGTTCTATTGCCAACATGACTAGTTATAAAATACGATATTACAATGTTAGGCTTTCACAATGCAATTCAGGGAAACAGATAATAATTTTGGCGTGCATAGAAAGGATCATGAGTGCATTCAGGTGCGTGTGCTGCAGATAATTTTCTTCACAATAGACAAACATAGGCTCATTCTGAACAACCCAGGGTATGACGCCATGTCATCGTGTAACTGGTATATCAAACATAGTGATCATAGACATTGAGACATGATTTTTATGATATGGAAATATGAAGTGCTCATTTGGACTCACGGGTGTTTGGCTAGCTTGTATGACATCAAAGAGGTATTTATTGTCATCCTCAACGTCTAATTTTTTTAAATACATAGTTTTTTTAATTTACAGCATTTCCCTCATTCAGACAACAAAATTAGCAGGAGGGATGGGGCAACTTTGTATCGCGTGAGGTGCTCAAGTTCAGAACGGCTATCAGTCAAAATCCATACCGCACTGTGAAGCGCAGAGACAGCGCTCTGACATCATGTATAGCATGTAACTGTGTGTGTGTGTGAGTGTGGCATCAATATGCATGTATGTGTGTGTTTTGTGTGTGTGAGCATAAGTAGTGTGTAAAAGTGTGTGTGTGTGTTGGAGTGTCAGTGTAGTATGTGTGAGTAGAGTCCAGTGAGTGTGCATAGAGCCACTGCAAGAGAGTCAGTGCAAAAAAAGGGGGTCAATGCAAATAGTCCGGGTAGCCATTTGATTAACGGGTCAGCAGTCTAATGGCTTGGGGGTAAAAGCTGTTCAGGAGCCTTTTGCTCCCAGACTTGGCGCTCCGGTACCGCTTGCAGTGCGGTAGCAGAGAGAACAGGCTATGACTTGGGTGGTTTGGGCTAACTGAGGAACAGAAAATAATTATGTTGAATCTCTGCGTGTGTGTGTGTGTGTGTATATATATATATACATTGAGTATACAAAACATTATGAACACCTGACATAGACTGACCAGGTGAATCCAGGTGAAAGCTATGATCCCTAATTGATGTCACTTGTTAAATCCACTTAAATCAGTCTAGATGAAGGGGAGGAGACAGGTTAAAGAAGGACTTTTAAGCCTTGAGACAATTGAGACATGGATTGTGTATGTGGGCCATTCAGAGGGTGAATGGGTAAGACAAAATATTTAAGTGCCTTTGAACGGGGTATGGTAGTAGGTGCCAGGCGCACCGGTTTGTGTCAAGAACTGCAACGCTGCTGGGTTTTTCACGCTCAACAGTTTCCTGTGTGTATCAAGAATGGACCACCACCCAAGGGATATCCAGCCAACTTGACACAACTGTGGGAAGCATTGGAGTCAACATGTGCCAACATCGCCGTGGAACGCTTTTGACACCTTGTAGAGTCCATGCCCCGACAAATTGAGGCTGTTCTGAGAGCAAAAAGGGGGGTGCCTCTATACTTCTATCCCACCTTTGCAGCCACCCTGTGGTCGTCAGTATTCTCCAGTAGCAGCACGTTGTCACACACCACACGCAGCTGCTGTGGGGCCATGGGGGGACCTGGGATCCCTGGCTCTCCTCCCCAGGCTGGGGGCTCTTTTCTGGGCCTAGGGTCGGGGTTGGTCTTTGGGGTGAGGATGGGGCCACTGAGTCCTCATGACACCCCTGATAACATGGAGAGAGACAGAGACCAGATTAAACCTGACTAGAAACCCCCAGGTTGCCGTTTAACAGGTACAAAAGACATTCGGCAACACTTTATTTGAAAGGTACCTATATAACTACTTCATTACACAGTCATAAGCCTTACATAACACATTCATATCCCAAAGACTCATATTGCTCGGTTCCATGTTGTAGAATAAGACTATTGAAGCTCTTGGTTGTGTGAACTTGTCATGAATTGTGTTGTAACTGAATTGTAACTGAATTGTTTTTGATGCACCAAAATGTACATTTCCCCAGGCCTTCCTATCAAGGGAGTATTCAATCTGTAGCCAAAAAACTGCAGCCATGACATTCCTGGCTGACCCTAAACAAAAACAAAACAGTGGTGTCATGATGTGGAGGAGAATTAGTTAGCCTCTGACCCCTCGGCGACTGGCTTCTTCTCTTCTTTCTTCTTCTTCTCTTCTTTACTCTTCTCCGTCTGAAGCGGTCTTGTGGCAGCTCAAAGCATGCTGGATCCTGGGAGAGGGCTGAGTAGACGTCCAGTAAGTAGTACGCATCGAGAGCTGTAGAGAGAGTGAGAGAGAAAAGAGAGAGAGATAGAGAGGGGGGGGGGGGGGGGGGGGGTGAAAGGTAAATAATCAAAAATGAACAGTAAACATTACACTCACAAAAGTTTCAGACAAATATAGTGCATTCGGAAGGTATTCAGATCCCTTGACTTTTTCCACATTTTGTTACGTTACAGCCTTATTCTAAAATTGATTCAATTACATTTTTCCTCATCAATCTACACACAATACCCTATAATGACAAAATGAAAACAGGTTTTTAGAATGTTTTGCAAATTTATAAAAAAAAATAAAAAAAAATAACTTATTTACATAAGTATTCAGACCCTTTGCTATGAGACTCGAAATTGAGCATCCTGTTTCCATTGATGATCCTTGAGATGTTTCTACAAGTTGATTGGAGTCCACCTATGGTAAATTAAATTGATTGGACATGATTTGGAAAGGCATACACCTGTCTATATAAGGTTCCACAGTTGACAGGGCATGTCAGAGCAAAAACCAAGCCATGAGGTCGAAGGAATTGTCTGTAGAGCTCCGAGACAGGATTGTGTCGAAGCACAGATCTGGGGAAGGGTACAAAACATTTCTGCAGCATTGAAGGTCCCCAAGAACACAGTGGCCTCCCTCATTCTTAAAAGGAAGAAGTGTGGAACCACCAAGACTCTTCCTAGAGCTGGCCGCCCGGCCAAACTGAGCATTCGGGGGAGAAGGGCCTTGATCAGGGAGGTGACCAAGAACCCAATGGTCACTCTGAAAGAGCTCCAGAGTTCCTCTGTGGAGATGGGAGAACCTTCCAGAAGGACAACCATCTCTGCAGCACTCCACCAATCAGGCCTTTATGGTAGAGTGGCCAGACAGAAGCCACTCCTCAGTAAAATGCACATGACAGACCGCATGGAGTTTGCCAAAAGGCACCTAAAGACTCTCAGACCATGAGAAACAAGATTCTCTGGTCTGATGAAACCAAGATTGAACTCTTTGGCCTGAATGCCAAGCATCACGTCTGGAGGAAACCTGGCACCATCCCTACGGTGAAGCATGGTTGTGGCAGCATCATGCTGTGGGGATGTTTTCAGCGGCAGGGACTGGGAGACTAGTCAGGATCGAGGGAAAGATGAACAGAGCAAAGTACAGAGAGATCCTTGATGAATACCTGCTCCAGAGTGCTCAGAACCTCAGACTGGGGCGAAGGTTCACCTTCCAACAGGACAATGACCCTAAGCACATAGCCAAGAAAACGCAGGAGTGGCTTCGGGACAAGTCTCTGAATGTCCTTGAGTGACCCAGACAGAGCCCGGACTTGAACCCAATGAAATATCTCTGGAAAGACCTGAAAATAGCTGTGCAGCGACGCTCCCCATTCAACCTGACAGAGCTTGAGAGGACCTGCAGAGAAAATTGAGAGAAACTCCCCAAATACAGATGTGCAAAGCTTGTAGCGTCATACCCAAGAATACACAAGGCTGTAATCGCTGCCAAAGGTGCTTCAACAAAGTACTGAGTAAAGGGTCTGAATACTTATGTAAATGTGATATTAGAATATATATATATACAGTACCAGTCAAAAGTTTGGACACACCTTCTCATTCAAGGGGTTTTCTTTATTTGTACTATTTTTTACATTGTAGAATAATAGTGAAGAAATCAAAACCATGAAATAACACTCATAGAATCAAGTAGTAACCAAAAAAGTGTTAAACAAATCAAAACAAATAGCCACCCTTTGCCTTGATGACAGCTTTGCACACTCTTGGCATTCTCTCAACCAGCTTCACCTGGAATGCTTTTCCAACAGTCTTGAAGGAGTTCCCACATATGCTGAGCACTTGTTGGCTGCTTTTCCTTCACTCTGCTGTCCTACTCATCCCAAACCATCTCAATTGGGTTGAGGTCGGGGGATTGTGGAGGCCAGGTCATAGTCCCACTAAGCCTAAACCAGATGGGATGGCGTAACGCTGCAGAATGCTGTGGTAACCATGCTGGTAAAGTGTGCCTTGAATTCTAAATAAATCACAGACAGTGTCACCAGCAAAGCACCCCCACACCATAACACCTCCTCCTCCATGCTTTACGGTGAGAACTACACATGCGGAGCTCGTACATTCACCCACACCGCGTCTCACAAAGACACAGCGGTTGGAACCAAAAATCTCCAATTTGGACTCCAGACCAAAGGTCACATTTCCACCAGTCTAATTTCCATTGCTCATGTTTCTTGGCCCAAGCAAGTCTCTTCTTATTATTGGTGTCCTTTAGTAGTGGTTTCTTTGCAGCAATTCGACCATGAAGGCCTGATTCACACAGTCCCCTCTGAACAGTTGATGTTGAGATGTGTCTGTTACTTGAACTCTGTGAAGCATTTATTTGGGTTACAATTTGTGAGACTGGTAAGTCTTATGAACTTATCCTCTGCAGCAGAGGTAACTCTGGGTCTTCCATTCCTGTAGCGGTCCTCATGAGAATTTAAGGGTTGGTGTGAGGTGTGACCCAGGTGTGGTGCAGGATAGACAGTAGGCAGTAGGCAGAGATGGTGAAACAAGTATCTTTACTGGTGGTTCCAAAACCAGGATACAAAATAATGGACTTGTCACAATAAAATAAAGGAGGAGCAAATTGGTCTCCAAAAACAGGCTGACAGCAAACATACGAAATACTAACTACGACTGAAAACAACAATGAAACAGGGAGAACACTTCTCAAGTGCCTGTACATATGTCTCGCGATCAGACACTGATTAGTACTGTTTGGCATCGAGAAACTAGCAGAGAGAACAGAGCAAAGGAACACAGGGAAGTGAGGGCATAAATACACAGGTGAACAGGTAGACACAGGTGATACCAATAGAATAATGATTAGTCCAGACTGTGAGTGAGGAGGTGCCTAAGGTTGTCGGAGGATGACACCTAGTGGGTCGCTCCGGAACTGTGACCCCCTCCTGTAACAGAGAGCCAGTTTCATCATAGCGCTTGATGGTTTTTGTAACTGCACTTGAAGAAACGTTCAAAGTTCTTGAAATGTTCCGTATTGACAGACCTTCATGTCTTAAAGTAATGATGGACTGTCGTTTCTCTTCTGTATACCCCCTTACCTTGTCACAACACAAATGATTGACTCAAACGCGTTAAGAAGGAAATAAATTCCACAAATTCACTTTTAAGAAGGCACACTTGTTAATTGAAATGCATTCCAGGTGACTACCTCATGAAGCTGGTTGAGAGAATGCCAAGAGTGTGCAAAGCTGTCATCAAGGCAAAGGGTGGCTATTTGAAGAATCTCAAATATAAAATATATTTCAATTTGTTTAACACTTTTTTTAGTTACTACATGATTCCATGTGTTATTTCATAGTTTTGATGTCTTCACTATTATTCAACAATGTAATTAAAAAAATTAAATAAAGACAAATCCTTGAATGAGTAGGTGTGTCCAAACTTTTGACTGGTCATCTTGCTTTGTCATTATGGGGTATTGTGTGTAGATTGATGAGGAAAAAACACAATTTAATCAATTTTAGAATAAGGCTGTAACGTAACAAAATGTGGAAAAAGTCAAGGGGTTTGAATACTTTTCGAATGCACTGTAGATACATTTTAAATGTCATATTATGGCTATGGCTTTTGTTTGGCAAAAAACACATACATTTCTTTCCACAGGGCCGTAGGGTGAGACAGGGATGCAGCTTGAGCCCCACCCTCTACAACATATATATCAATGAATTGGCGAAGGCACTAGAACAGTCTGCAGCACCCTGCCTCACTTTACTAGAATCTGAAGTCAAATGTCTGATGTTTGCTGATGATCTGGTGCTTCTGTCCCCAACCAAGGAGGGACAAGGCAAGAAGGGCCTTCTACGCCATCCAAAGGAACATAAAATTCGACATCCCAATTAGGATCTGGCAAGAAATTCTTGAATCAGTTATAGAACCCATTGCTATTTCTGGTTGTGAGGTCTGGGGTCCGCTCACCAACCAAGAATTCACAAAATGGGACAAACACCAAATTGAGACTCTGCATGCAGAATTCTGCAAAAACATCCTCTGTGTACAACGTAAAACACCAAATAATGCATGCAGAGCAGAATTAGGCCGATACCTGCTAATTATTAAAATCCAGAAAAGAGCCGTTAAATTATACAACCACCTAAAAGGAAGCGATTCACAAACGTTCCATAACAAAGCCATCACCTACAGAGAGATTAACCTAGAGAAGTGTCGACTAAGCAAGCTGGTCACAAACCCAAACCGACCCCACAGGGTCCCAGGACAATAACAACAACAACACAATTAGACCCAACCAAATCATGAGAAGAAAAAAATATAATTCCTTGACACATTGGAAAGAATTTACCAAAAAACAGAGCAAACTGGAATGCTATTTGGCCCTAAATAAAGAGTACACAGTGGCAGAATACCTGACCACTGTGACTGGCCCAAAATTAAGAAAGGCTTTGACTATGTACAGACTCAGTGAGCATAGCCTTGCTATTGAGAAAGGCCGCCGTAGGCAGACCTGGCTCTCAAGAGAAGACAGGCTATGTGCACACTACCCACAAAATGAAGTGGAAACTGAGCTGCACATCCTAACCTCCTGCCAAATGTATCATCGTTATAACACATTTGAAATGTCTCTATTCCTCTGAAACCTTTGTGAGTAATGTTTACTGTTCATTTTTGATTGTTTATTTCACTTTTGTTAATTATCTATTCCACTTGGGGGGGTGGTGGGGGGGGGGGGGGGGGGGGGGGGGGGGGTGGTGAAAGCGAGAGGAGGTGGGAGAGGAGAGAGAGAAAGGGGGGGTGAGAGTAAGAAAGGGGGGAGAGGAGAGAAGAGAGAGAGAGAGAGAGAGAGAGAGAGAGAGAGAGAGAGAGAGAGAGAGAGAAAGCGCGAGAGAGAGAGAGAGAGAGAGAGAGAGAGAGAGAGATGTGCACAGTGCCCACATGAGGTGGAAACTGAGCTGCACTTCCTAACCTCCTGCCAGATGTATGACCATATAAGAGACACACATTTCCCTCAGATTACAAAGACCCACAAAGAATTCAAAAACAAATCCAATTTTGATAACCTCCCATATGTGTGCCATCACAGCAGCAAGATGTGTGACCTGTTGCCACAAGAAAAGGGCAATCAGTGAAGAACAAACACCATTGTAAATACAACCCATATTTATGTTTATTTTCCCTTTTGTACTTTAGCTATTTGTACTATTTGGAATTTTTGTGAGTGTAATGGTTACTGTTTGACTTTTTTGATTTTGGATTGTTTATTTCACTTTTGTTTATTATCCATTTCACTTGCTTTGGCAATGTAAATATGTGTTTCCCATGGCAATAAAGACCTTTGAATTGAATTGAGAGAGAGAGAGAGAGAGAGAGGGAGAGAGAGTTTATCTATTTGCACGTTGTTACAACACTGTATATAGACACAATATGACATTTGAAATGTCTTTATTCTTTTGGAATTTTTGTGAGTGTAATGTTTACTGTTCATTTTTTATTGTTTATTTCACTTTTGTTTATGATCTATTTCTCTTGCTTTGGCAATGTTTCCCATGCCAATAAAGCTCCTTAAATTGAAATTGAGAGAGAGAGAGAGAGAGAGAGAGAGAGAGAGAGAGAGAGAGAGAGAGAGAGGGCTTGAAGGAAGGCGTGAGAAGGCGTGAGAGAAAAACACTGGGAAAAAATACAAGATTTAGAGATAAGAGAGACAAAAAGATAAGACAGAGAACATCAAAAGAGAGAGAGAGATAGTATCGTCTGTCCCTTTATCTCTCTATCTCGTCAGAGACAGACAGCGTTTCAGTGTCCACACTAGCATACTACTGAAGTATGAGGTCATAAACTGTATTGGGCATGCATTCTAAGAGGTATGATAGTAATTATGGACATCGGAACAAGGCTACAGTTCACTTTATTGGCCTTTTCAGGAATTCTTCTCACATTCTCCAGCACTGAGAGAATACTAAAGATGACAACAGGCTGCTCACCTGCGTAGCGGGGCTGGCTGGTCCGGAGCAGTCATCTCTCCCAGTTGGTGTGTGTGTGCGTGCCTACTTGTGTACCTGCGTAGCAGAGCTAGTGTGTGTGTGTGTGTGCCTGCATGAGTGTGTGTATATAACTGCCTTATCGTAGCTGACTCATCCTCAGTGGTCGTCTCTCCCAGTTACACAGCTATTCCATCACCGCTGGACCAGTAGACTGAGACCCTTCTCTGTTGGGCCCTCCCCAACCAGCACCCTACGAGGTTGCCCGCTGTTACCACGACTGCTAGCACTATGCTGGATCTGGGGATCACACACATAGGATACAGGTCAATGTTTAGAATATTGTGATAACATTGGTAATAATAGGGCCCATTTTAACTTAATCTTATGACCCCAAAGTAAATACGTTCTGCCACCTCTGGTCTCTTGGCCCTCCCGCACCTACGGGAGGGCAGCTCCCACTCAACCCAGTCCAAGCTCTTCTGTCCTGGCACCCCAATGGTGGAACCAGCTTCTCCCTGAAGCTAGGACAGCAGAAAACATCTGAAACCCAACCTCTTCAAAGAGTATCTTAAATAATCCCAGAGCACCCCCCCTCGCACCCATCCTCGCCCCGACCCCTCCCTCCCCCAAAAATGCCTTTTTGCGAACTAATACTCGTACTTGACTTTTTTTTTTTTAACTAGCTCTGACTTTGCTGATAGCTACTTTATTGAGGAAAAATGTACTTTCTACGGCTGTGATATGTGGTTGTCCCACCTATTAGCTATCTTAAGATGAATGCACTAACTGTAAGTCGCTCTGGATAAGAGCTGAGACTGGTCAAAGCCGGGACCAAGAGAATGAAAAACAGCTTCTATCTCAAGGCCATCAGACTGTTAAATAGCCATCACTAGCAGATTAGAGGCTGCTGCTGCCTATTGAAATCACTGGCCACTTTAAGAAATGGAACACTAGTCACTTTAATAATGTTTACATATCTTGCATTACTCATCTCATATGTATATACTGTATTCTATAATATTCTACTGTATCTTTGTCCATACCGCTCTGTCATTGCTTGTCCATATATGTATATATTCTTAAATTCCATTCCTTACTTAGATTTGTGTGTATTGGGTATATGTTGTGAAATTGTTAGATATTACTTGTTAGATATTAATGCACTGTCGGAGCTAGAAGCACAAGCATTTCGCTACACCCGCAATAACATCTGCTAAACACTAGTATGTGACAAATAAAATTTGATTTAATTTGATTGAATGACTAAAAAGTAAATGTAATACAGTATGTAAAAGCCCCTCTAGGGACAGGATTAGGGTTAGACTAAGACACTATAAGTGCAGCTGAACCAAGTGTACTGTACCCGTTGGTGAATATAAATATAGATCTTTGAACGTTTCATTAAGCCTGCCTGGAGTGCTATATGGGCAGGATTTGCACTTTTTTGAGTATTTCATTGTTCCATTGTGTCAGACAATCTATATAAAATCAAATCAAATCACATTTTATTGGTCACTATAAGTGCAGCTGAACCAAGTGTACTGTACCCGTTGGTGCACGTTGAGATGTTCCTCAGAGAACTGGGGCCATGTGACCAGAAGGAATGACAGACAGATGGACAGACAGATAGACATCAGACCTGGGGTGTATTCAAATCAAATCAAATGTTATTGGTCGCATACACATATTTTGCAGATGTTATGTGAAATGATTATGTTCGTAGCTCCAACAGTGCAATACAAAACAATACATGCAAGTCAGTAAGGTCAGTGTTGCTTATCAGTACTGTTTTCTTGCCTTATTATATTTCATAGGTGATTGTACATAGAGCACTGACAGGGCGGTAAGAATGAAAGGTGCTATTTGAATAATGTTTACTACTGTATTATTATCATCTTTACATCTACAAGGTTACACAAGCCAGCCAGTGAAGACATTGGTCAGTTGCATAGAAATAATTTAGAATGACTAGAATGGACATTCCCATTGAAGTCAACATAGGTGGATCATTCTACTTCTATGGTCCGTTGTACCTGTATAACCACATCTCTGCAGCGCTGCAGCCCCTCCATTGTCCCACACCCCAAACGGGATCCTGTCTTTGGGGAGACCGTAGAGTAGTGATCACTGGGCAGCGTTGACCATCCCACCATATTTGACCACCAGCTCCACCAACTGAATCTGCAGCTCTGGATCGTCTGCCACTTTAGACTGACCATATTCGTCAATATTTGAACACATACAATCAATCAACTAATGACTGAGATACTGAGGGTAACACTTAATGACTTTCATGAATAAAACATTTGAAATGCTTGTAAAAGTTTATAAATGTTTTTAAACGTACCTGTACGTGGTCACCCCAGTTCTCCCCAGACATGCCTTTCTGAAAGACAGAGGGGGTGGGAAGACAACGTGAATGGGAAGGAAAGCAGAGGATCAAAAGGAAACATTACCAAAAAAACTATTGTGGTTTTACCTACTTTATTTGAATGCACTGATTGCAAGTGGCTTTGCATAAGAAAGCCTGCTAAATGACTAGAATGTCAAAGTAAAATGTATCGTATTGAAGGCCCCAGCCTGCTTACATCCACAAACCTTTTATACATGAGGAAACGCAGAGTCCGATTTACGCTTCTACACTGAATTGGGACACAGCGCTGCAAAGTGAAAAATTAAACCATTGAAAATGTTGAGCAGGCACACTGATGATCAGTATTACACATGGGAACTATCAGAACACACAGTCACACACACACACCAGGGTCGATGTTGAATTTCTCCAGCAGTCGAAGCACTTGTTTGCTGAGCATCTTAGGCTGGATTTGGTCAGTTTGATGTTTGGAGAGGGAACTGCCTGCAGTGAAGCACAAGGAATCATAAACAACAGAACAAACGTAACAGACACACACACACAAACTATACCTGCGTATTTGTGCTATGCTATAGTCAGGCTGGCACCCGGAGTCTAGCAGTCTGACCATGCATTCCTCCAGTTTAGGATGGCCCCTCACAAATGACTCAGCCATAGGCAGCTTGTCCTGCAGGATCACATATGCAACACACACACACTCACACACTCACTCACTCACATACACACAGACACACACACACACACACTCACACACACACACACACAGACACACAAACTCGCACAATAGACACACACACATTATATTTTGATAACACTGAAACTCTCACCTCCTCCATATCCACTTCATTCGGCTTAGAAGCGCTGCCTGAAAAACAACAACATTTAATACAACATTACTTTACTCAAAACATGAAGTATATGACATTCATCTAACATAGCTTTGTCTGACTCAAGCATGTTGATCCATTTGATTTCCATCCAATACCACACACAAATGCACACACATTTACATTTTAGTAGACAACCTTGTCCAGAGCGACTTACAGGAGCAAGTAGGGTTAAGTGCCTTGCTCAAGAGCACATTGACAGGGAGGCCATATCATGATGAACAGAACAGTATACTGACACGGTCTTGACAGTGTTCAAAGGCCTAGAAAAGCTGCACAGATGTTCTCTCACAAGTAATAGAGGACACAGGAAAACAGCACTGTGGGCTTTCACAGGAGCACAGCACTCACTGGGAGAGGACAGAGAGGGGCTCTAATGGCCCTATTCCTGCCTCCTCTCTCCTCCGTCCTCTCTCGCCTCCTTTTGAAAAAGGTCAAAGGTAATCGAGGAGAGTGAACGTGGACGAAAACCGCCCTGTAGCAGTTGAGAGCCTGCTGTCTGATGATATGCAGCCTCAGGATGCTCCGGTCTCAATTCCCTAGCTGGTAGATGTCTATGAGAGGGTCCATGTGGAGGCTGAGGGCGCGGTGGTGCAGCCCCAGTTCAGAGGCCTCCGGGACGGTCTGGAGAGTCACCTGGGGGTGGGCGATTTGCACGTACAACTTTGTGTTTATTTTTATAGTCACCACCCAGCAATCCGGGAACATTCCCAGAACATTAGCCAAGATTCCCATGAAGTTCTAGTTAGGGTTTTATCTAACATTAGGATAATAACATCCCCCCCCCCCAAAAAAAAAGTTTTGCGTCAGAAAATGTTTTCAATTAAATATCCTGAAGAATTACATTAAATATCCTGTTGTGCACAACATCTGTAACAACCACTACAGAACATTCCTCAAACATTCTCATTAGGTTTCCAGGTAAAGAACAGATTAAATGTGTTCTGGGAACGTTCTTGCAACATCAGGCGAATGATTTATACAAATATTGAATAATCATCAGCACAACTAGCCAGTTTTTGTGCTATAAGAACATTTGCCACAACCTAACGAATGTTCTGGGAACATTCACAGAACCAATTTTGGTTTAGTGGTGTAACAGTATTGCTTCCGTCCCTTTCCTCACCCCAACCTGGGCTTGAACCAGGGACCCTCTGCACACATCGACAACAGTCACCCTTGAAGCATCGTTACCTATCACTCCACAAAAGCTGTGGTCTTTGAGGAGCAAGGGAAACAACTAATGCATGGTCTCAGAGCGAGTGACGTCACCGATTGAAACGCTACTAGCGCACACCGCTAACTAGCTAGCCATTTCACACTCATAATAGCAACATGTCTTAATAAACCACACGCATACGTTTCGGCCTGCACCTTCTTCAGTGCGGGTAACAGTGTGAGGTATGTGTTGCGCCATGCCACCTTCCTCAGTGTGTGTAACAGTGTGAGGTATGTGTTGCGCCATGCCTCCTTCCTCAGTGCGTGTAACAGTGTGAGGTATGTGTTGCGCCATGCCACCTTCCTCAGTGCGTGTAACAGTGTGAGGTATGTGTTGCGCCATGCCACCTTCCTCAGTGCGTGTAACAGTTTGAGGTATGTGTTGCGCCATGCCGCCTTCATCAGTGCGTGTAACAGTGTGAGTTTTTTTTTCATTTTTACGTGATTGATTTTTGGTACCTTCCTAGCACCCTTTTTACTTGTTGACAGAAAAATATTTTGAGTTTACTTTATTTCATTTTACTTTACTGAGACTGACATTGGGTTGGTCAGTCTCCAGCGTTCAAACTCCATAAGGATGCTGTGGCCCATGGTGGTAGCCTTGCTCTTCTGCCTGCCTTCCAGCAAACACAGCAGGTCCTCTAATGGATGCTGGAAGATGAGGACAGTTTTTTTCCATCCTCCTCTGGCTACATTGACTTCAATAGAAAACCTAGGAGGCTTGTGCTCCTCACCCCCTTCCATAGACCTACATGGTAATTATGACAACTTCCGGAGGACGTCCTCTAACCAATCAAAGCTTTTGCAGTACGAACAGACATGTTGTCCATCCAATCAAAGGATCAGTGAATTAACTTCATACTATGCATGTGTAATTTAGAAGCTTGGTGAGTTGGTGACATTGTTGGATAGATTGAGATAGTGAATAGTGGTAGTGGAGCATTACAAAATATATATTATTCCATTCAAATTAGTTTCTTCAAACTACAGGAGAAAAAAAGTTACCAAGATTATGTATTGTTTTCTTGGTTTTAGAACTTTATTTTTATGTCTAGTTAGTGCAATTTATTAGGAGTTCACAGCGAAACTGTTCTCTGAATTAATTTTTTATTGACATGGTCAAATAACTGAAGCACAGATTGGTAACTTTTCTTCTAATTTGGCACTGAAACTAAAGGCCATGAGTCAAGATTAATGGCACCGATTGGCCTATACGGGGCACTGTTATAAGCAGGCTCACTTAAACCCTCATATCCGTCATGCCGTTTGACCTAGAGCAGGGCTTGACATTAACTCCAGACGGAGTTGGCATGCCGAGACGACACCCTCTCATTGGACGCACTCATCGCGATGGCCATCCGTCTGGATAACCTCCTTCGGGAGCGTCAGCACTCCCATCGCCTCTCTCCCTCTTTCGTTGACCGATCTGAGTCAGTCTGAACCCATGGAGGTAGGGGCCACACGCCTCCCCGCGGCTGAGCGACGGCGTCGGAGACAGCTGGGGCTCTGTCCCTATTGTGGTCAAGAGGGGCACCAGCTTCAACGGTGTCCGCTACTTCCCAACCCGGGAGCCACTAGAGCAGAGGGACGGCCCCGTGATCATCCATCTCCTGGGGTAGGTGTGAGTATTCCATCATCACTCTCCACCAAGCCCTTTTTAGTTTTTAGTACCGATTTCACTAGCTGGCTGTCCTTCATGTGGTGTTTCTACAGCTCTAGTTGACTCCGGTGCCACGGGGAATTTTATTGACCAGGTCCTTGCCTCCTCCCTGAACATAGCAACATACCCGCTCTCCTCTCCGTTTCTGGTTCAAGCGCTGGATAACCGACCACTGGGATCTGGAACAATTACACATATCACAGCACCACTCACCATTACCGTGGGACCTCAGCACCAAGAAAACCTTCTCTTCCTCATCATCATCCAGGCACCCGTACATAAAGTCATCCTCGGCCTCCCGTGGCTCCAACGCCACGACCCCACCATCTCCTGGTCGAGGATGGAGATCACGGCCTGGGAAACCAGATGTCGTAAGACCTGCGTTTCCTTACCCTGTGGTTCCACGTCGGTTGAGAGTCCTGTGGTTGCCCTCCAGGCCGACATCCTGGAGGTTTACCAGCATCTCCGGGAGGTTTTCTCCAAGACCCACGCCACCTGTCTCCCTCCTCATCGCCCCTGGGACTGTGCCATTGACCAGCTAACAGACTCGCCGCCTCCGTGCAGCCGCATCTACCCCCTGTCGGTGGCTGAAACCAAGGCTATGGAGGAATACATCCAGGAGGCTCTCCAACATGGTTTCATCCGCCCATCCACCTCCCCTGCATCGTCAGGTTTCTTCTTCGTGGCGAGTGTGTCCTGGGGTACCACCCGGCCCCGTGGACCCCGAACCAGACCGATGCCCCTGCAGTGGACAAGTGGTTCCGGCGTGCCGAGGAAGTTTGGAACACTGCCCACGTGAGGCTCCAACGTGCCATCCGCAGCCAAAAGGAGCAAGCGGATCTCCACCGCAGTGAGGCTCCTGTGTTCCATCCTGGTGATCACGCCTGGCTCTCCACCAGGAACCTCCCGCTCCGCATGCCCTGCTGGAAGCTGAGCCCTCGGTTTGTGGGGCCATTCAAAGTCATCTGGAGGGTCAATGAGGTAACATACCGATTACAGCTTCCCCCTAACTACCGGATCTCACCCTCTTTTCACGTTTCCCTCCTCAGCCCGGTGGTTCCTGGTCCCCTGGCTGATGCCGTCCCCCACGTCAATTCTCCACCTCCCCTGGACATTGAGGGAAGCCCTGCCTATGCTGTCAGATCCCTCCTGGACTCGCGACGTCGTGGGGGTCGGCTCCAGCACAGTGGCTTGCGAAAGTATTCACCCCCCTTGGCATCTTTCCTATTTTGTTGCCTTACAACCTGGAATTAAAATGGCTTTTTTGGGGGTTTGAATCATTTGATTTACACAACATGCCTACCACTTTGAAGATGCTAAATATTTTGTATTGTGAAACAAACAAGAAATAAGACAACAAAACAGAAAACTTGAGCATGCATAACTATTCACCCCCCCCAAAGTCAATACCACCTTTTGCAGCAATTACAGCTAAAAGTCTCTTGGGGTATGTCTCTATAAGCTTGGCACATCTAGCCACTGGGATTTTTGCCCATTCTTCAAGGCAAAACTGCTCCAGCTCCTTCAAGTTGGATGGGTTCCGCTGGTGTACAGCAATCTTTAAGTCATACCACAGATTCTCAATTGGATTGAGGTCTGAGCTTTGACTAGGCCATTCCAAGACATATAAATGTTTCCCCTTAAACCACTCGAGTGTTGCTTTAGCAGTATGCTTAGGGTCATTGTCCTGCTGGAAGGTGAACCTCCGTCCCAGTCTCAAATCTCTGGAAGACTGAAAGAGGTTTCCCTCAATAATTTCCCTGTATTTAGTGCCATCCATCATTCCTTCAATTCTGACCAGTTTCCCTGTCTCTGCCGATGAAAAACATCCCCACAGCATGATGCTGCCACCACCATGCTTCACTGTGTGGATGGAGTTCTCGGGGTGATGAGAGGTGTTGGGTTTGCGCCAGACATAGTGTTATCTTTGATGGCCAAAAAGCTCAACCAGAGTACCTTCTTTAAATATGTTTGGGGAGTCTCCCACATGCCTTTTGGCGCCTTCCTCATGTCAGTATCATGTTTGTACAGGAGGCTGTAGCCAATATGCATATCACCTAAACTTTGACATGTAGGCTTTTTTATACATTAAAAATAGATTTGAATATTATTCCAATGTTAGCCTCTGATCCAATTCTGATCTGTGTAACTAAAAATACTTAATCTTCTTCTCATGAACTATTAGTCGGATTGACTCCAGAGTTGCTGCATTCAAAGTCAGCCACGCTACACCACTAGATGACACCACATCACACCAGGGCTATAAGAACTGAACCGATGGACATGGGACCATAATTTTGTATGTAAACCTTGTATACACTGAGTGTAGAAAACATTAGGAACACCATCCTAATAATGAGTTGCACTCCCTTTTGACCTCAGAACACCCTCAATTTGTCTGGGCATGGACTACAAGGTGTCAAATGCATTCATTTTACATTTTACATTTTCGTCATTTAGCAGACGCTATATCCATGTCAAAATATAAAATTATATTATAAATTATAAATTGATTTGCATTTTAATGAGGGAAATAAGTATTTGACCCCTCTGCAAAACAACTTAGTACTTGGTGGCAAAACCCTTGTTGGCAATCACAAAGGTCAGACGTTTCATGTAGTTGGCCACCAGGTTTGCACACATCTCAGGAGGGATTTCGTTCCACTCCTCTTTGCAGATCTTCTCCAAGTCATTAAGGTTTCGAGGCTGACGTTTGGCAACTCGAACCTTCAGCTTCATATTCAGAACCCTTTCCTGCACTTAAGTCAAGCCTCTGAACACCTCAACTCATGCCTCATACCCGTATTCAATCACTGCTGTGTAGCCCTCTCATTCCCATTCCCCATAATATTTTACTATAAATGTCTTTATTAAATATTTTAGGTTAAACTAACTTGTCTTTGACGATTTTTGAAACATGCTTTGTCGTCTCCATGCTGTCCGCGGCTATACCGTGGGTCTCCCATCCTCCTCAATTTTTCAAGTCACCAGCCTCCACACAGGGCCTGACTGTGAAGTTGATGACAGAGACACACTGTAATTACAGCTCTTTCTCACCGCCTCCAGCTCTTTTCTGGTCCAGAGGACAAAGAGTTGTTCTCTCAGTGCCATGGGGTCAGCACCTGGAGGTCACACAGGTGATATGGGGTTACACGGCCCCCTACTGACCTCTCACCCCAACCTGTCAATGGCTATGGGGTTACCAGCCTAATCCTTCACCCAATCCATTGGAGCATTAGAGCAACCCACCCATCCTATTGTGTTTATCACTTTCCTTTTCCCCCCATTTTCACACACACTAGATATACCTAACCTCCTAAGTCCTTACGCATGGCAAACTGAACAAATAACATACACACACATTAGCCTATTCCTACACTAACCACTCCTTCACAATGTGTGTCACTACACCTTAATGTTTGTATCGTTGCTAAGAATAGCTGGGTTATCATTAACTCAAAAGAGTGAGATGGGATAGGATTAACAGCAGTTGTTGAGGGTTACTGACTGAGTTTTGGACTAGTTCTGCTTAGCTTTTGGTTTGATTTAAAGCCATAATACCCACTGAGAACTGAGAGGACAGGGCACATTTTTGGACGGCTGGGGTGAGTTAAAAAAAGGCCTGTTTACAAAATGGAGACAAGGGGAGGTATAGGCCGGGTATGTTCCTAAACATTCCCAAATGCTCCTGCCTCTCTCTCTCTGTCTCTTTCTCTCTCTCTCTCTTTTATGCTGTGTCGGCTCCGACCCCCCCCTCCGTCTCCCTCCTTCCCAGGCCGAGTGTTCTTGTTCCCCTCTCCCCACCGCTATCTGTTTGTCTCGGATTTCCCCAGGAAAGGGCAACACGGTGGTCATGGTGTAAAACATCCAGCCTTCCTGACGGACAGCCTGGGAAAGCAGACCAAAGGGCTTCTCTCTCCCTCTCTCACCACACTTTAACTCTCAGGTCCTCACAGATCGGAGCTAGCTAATGCATACCTAAAAGCAGAGAGACAGAGCAGTGTGTATTGTAACATAGCTCAGAACAGGTCTGGGAAGCACAGGGACGAACTGCACTAAGGAAAAACACTTTTCACTGACTCCCTAGAGCACAGCACACAATGCATGGATGTAGAGCACTGCACACTTCACAGAAATCTTCTTTCTATGTTGCTAGTCTACCTACTTTGTCAGCCCTTCTCCCCCGATTTCTCAGATTGGCCGGGCGGCCAGCTCTCAGAAGACTCTTGGTGGTTCCAAACTTCTTCCATTTAAGAATGATGGAGGTCACTGTGTTTTTGGGGACCATCAATGCTGCAGACATTTTTTGGTACCCTTCCCCAGATCTGCGCCTCAACATAATCCTGTCTCGGAGCTCTACGGACAATTCCTTCGACCTCATGGCTTGGTTTTTGCTCTGACATGCACTGTCAACTGTGGGACCTTATATTGACAGGTGTGTGCCTTTCCAATTCATGTCCAATCAATTGAATTTACCACAGGTGGACTCCAATGAAGTTGTAGAAACATCTCAAGGTTGATCAATGTCACGTTCGTTTAAGGACGGGTCAGACCAAGGCGCAGCGTGATATGCATACATGTTTATTTACAACGAATAAACACAACACAAAACAACAAACCAAACCAAACTTCCAAAGGTTGAACACAAAACTAGCCTAAACACGGAACAAGATCCCACAACGAACTAGTGCCAATAGGCTGCCTAAGTATGATCCCCAATCAGAGACAACGAGCGACACCTGTCTCTGATTGGGAATCACACCCGGCCAAACATAGATATACAACACCTAGACTGCAACATAGATATACACAACATAGAATAACACACCCTGACTCAACATATAAGAGTCCCCTGAGTCAGGGCGTGACAGTACCCTCCCCCAAAGGTGCGGACTCCGACCGCACAACCTTTACCTAACAGAGTAGGGGCCGGGTGGGCACTCCGCCTCGGAGGCGGATCCGGCTCCGGGCGTGACGACCACATACTCTCCGCCTCCCTGTTGCGCCCCTGGTCTGGTCTGGACCTCGGCGCGCTGCTTCCCCTCTCCTTCCTCCCACGATACTCCAAGCCCTGTCTGGACCCTGGTGTGGGAGACCCCGAACCTGGAGAGGGGCTGACGTCTGGGTCTGGACTAGAACCGCTGACCGGAGCTGGACCGGACGCCGGTGGAGCGGACTACTCAGGCTCCGGACTGGAGCCGCTGACCGGAGCTGGACTGGGCACAGTTGGAGCGGACTGCTCTGGCTCCGGAGTGGAGCCTGCTGACCGGAGCTGGACTGGGCACCGGTGGAGCGGCCTGCTCTGGCTCCGGAGTGGAGCCGCTGACCGGAGCTGGACTAGACCCCGGTGGAGCGGACTGCTCTGGCTCCAGAGTGGAGCAGCTGACCGGAGCTGGATCAGGCACCGGTGGAGCGGACTGCTCTGCCTCCGGAGTGGAGCAGCTGCCGGACTGGACACACGCACCACTGGTCTGGTGCGAGGAGCAGGGACGGGCCGGACCGGACTAGGAACACGCACCACTGGCTTGGTGCGAGGAGCAGGAACGGGCCGGGCCGGACTGGGAACACGCACCACTGGCTTGGTGCGGGGAGGAGGAACAGGCCGGGCCGGACTGGGAACACGCACCACTGGCTTGGTGCGAGGAGCAGGAACGGGCCGGACCGGACTGGCGACACGCACCACTGGCTTGGTGCGAGGAGCAGGACTGGGTTCCTTTATTAACCCCCGCTCCTTCTGCTGCCTAACCAGCTCCTCTCTCCGTGCCTCCACTATTTCCTTCACCCTTTGAGCCTCCTGTAACTGACCGGCTAACTCCTGCTCCCTCTGAGCTAACAGCCCCCGTAACATGGTGGCCTCCTGTCTTAACCTGCAGATCCGCCCTTTCACGGCCTCCTGCTGCCTTGTCGTCCACCCCGTGTGCCCCCCCAAAAGAATTATTGGGGTTGCCTCTCGGGTCTCCGTTGTCGGCACTGTTGGCGCCGTTTCTCCTCTCCTGCCCGGGCTTCCTCCTTCACCCAGGATCCTTTATCAGCTACACTCTCCTTCATCGCCTCCCGATAACGGACGGCCTCCTCCTCTGTAATTCTCCCCCAACCGAGGAGGACATCTACTAATGTTACCTCCTGTTGAATCCCAGGCGTTTGCTCCTTCTGGGCACGCTGCTTGGTCCTTGTTTGGTGGGATCTTCTGTCACGTTCGTTTAAGGACGGGTCAGACCAAGGCGCAGTGTGAAATGCGTGCATGTTTATTTAAATGATAAACACACGACAAAACAACAAACCAAACGAAACGTGAAGTCCAAAGGCTGAACACAAAACTAGCCTAAACAAGATCCCACAACTAACTAGTGCCAATAGGCTGCCTAAGTATGATCCCCAATCAGAGACAACGAGTGACACCTGTCTCTGATTGGGAATCACACCCGGCCAAACATAGATATACAACACCTAGACTGCAACATAGATATACACAACATAGAATAACACACCCTGACTCAACATATAAGAGTCCCCTGAGTCAGGGTGTGACAATCAATGGAAACAGGATGCACCTGAGCTCAATTTCGAGTCTCATAGCAAAGGGTCTGAATACTTATGTAAATAAAGTATTTATGTTTTTATTTTTAAAAACCTGTTTTGGCTTTGTCATTATTGTGTAGATTGATGAGAATTCTTTTTTTTTATTTAATCAATTTTAGAATAAGGCTATAACGTAACAAAATGTGGAAAAAGTGAAGGGGTCTGAATACTTTCCGAATGCACTGTACATGGCTCTGTATTTTTTTTAAGTATAAAAAAGGCTCTGTAATATACTGACAGACTCATAAAACCCCAAACTTGTATTAACTTGAAAACCCTCATCTTACCTATTTCAGAATATCACTGAGCAAGTCATTAACCAGCGCTGAAGACTGAAGGTCTAACTCGCTCTCACGCATACTCACACACACACACCCTCCCTGTGGGAACAGCAGCCCAAGAAAGGGCAGGCTACCAGCTGGCTATGAGACATGCTTTTGAGGCTGAGGATGTTTTTTTAGGTCTGGAGTCTGGACTGTTTTTCTCCCTTTCTCTCCCTGGTCCCCGTGGGAGGTTCTTGGCTCTCACTGCTCACTTTTACAGCAGTGGGGGACTCTGCAGGGCGCTCTGCTGTACTCTGCTTCCATCTATTGGCGACTATTGAGTAGTACAGCAGGGTGAGGCCCTCCTAGGTGAGGTAATAATAATAATATAATAATATGTCATTTAGCAGACGCTTTTATCCAAAGCGACTTACAGTCATGCGTGCAAACATTTTTACGTATGGGTGGTCCTGGGGATCGAACCCACTACCCTGGCGTTACAAGCGCCATGCTCTACCAATTGAGCTACAGAGGACCACAATTGAGCTACAGAGGACCAATACAGTATATAATAATTGAGTGCCTTCAGAAAGTATTCATACCCCTTGACTTATTCCACATTTTGTTGTGTTACAGCCTGAACTCAAAATTTATCAAATTATTTTTTACACACAATACCCCATAATGAAAAAGTGAAAACGTTACAAGTTTTGCCAATAAAAAAAAGGACAAAATGAAATACAGAAATATCTCATTTACATAAGTATTCACACCCCTGAGTCAATACTTTATAGAAGCAGATTACAGCTTTGAGTCATCTTGGGTATGTCTGTATCAGCTTTGCACATCTGGATTTTGAGATTTTCTTCCATTCTTCATTGCAGATTTTTTCAAGCTCTGTTAAATTAGATGGAGAGCGGCGGTGAACAGCAATCTTCAAGTCTTTCCACAGATTTTCAATGGGATTCAAGTCTGGGCTTTGGCTGGGCCACTCAATAACATTCACATTCTTGTTCTGAATCAATTCCCGTGTTGCTTTGGCTGTATGCTTGGGGTCATTGTCCTGCTGGAACTTAAATATTCGCCCAAGTCTAAGGTCGTTTGCATTCTGAAGCAGGTTCTCGTCAAGGATTTGCTGGTTTTTGGCTCCATTCATTGTTCCCTCTATCCTCGACCTACCCCATTCATTGACGCTAACTGCTTTAGCGCCTATTGACGAAAGTATCTTCTTTACGGTGGGCTTTGTGTTAAGAGCCCTGACGCTCGGTCTGAAAGTTAACATGAATCGCATATAAGCGAGAAAATAATACTACTTTTTTTGGGGGGGTCAAATTGACACACACCTTGATAGGGTTAGGGTTAGTGTTCCCACACGGCCATATCTCCATGGTTACAGAGCTTGTTTACGGAATACAAGAGGCGACCACCTGTGCTAGTTAGCTATCTAGCATGCTCCGAACACCTGTGTGTAAGCGTAACTCCAGAGAGGAAGAGGAAGAGAGGCCCAATTTGGCGGAAAATCTGTCTCCCTCCACCAGGTGGCTTTTTTTCATTTTGCCCACCAAGCAAGGACTTTTTATATGGAGGTCAATGAGTGTCTCGAATGTCAACAAAAAAATGAATTACTTATTTGCTATGTGAGGTTTATTTGATTGAATAGAAGTTTCGTAATGCTTAAGTTGTTACGAGTGTACTGATATTAGTAGGACACGTGACATCCCGGCAACATTGATAAAAAAACACTTTATTTCGGAGTTGTCTCGATATGGCTATGCATATTCATGATATCAGGCTAGTAGCATAGCATTTGTCAACAACCCTCATCAAATATTTTTTAAAGGATTGCAATAATGAGATGTATCCACCAATCCAAAGAAAGGATCGGCGGGAGCTAGACAGCCTGCCGTTCCGCTTTGTGGACAACGACTCCCATTGTTAGGGTGGAGAGACATGTATCTTGTCAGTATATCCATAATCTTTGGTAACTCGGGAAGTGTAGTTTTGTCGGGTGTAGGCACCCGTAGCTGTATGGATCTGTGCAGAACTGCTACAGTATAGTCCCCTGTAGCTCAGTTGGTAGAGCATGGCGCTTGCAACGCCAGGGTTGTGGGTTCATTTCCCATGGGGGGCCAGTATGAAAATGTATGCACTCACTAACTGTAAGTCGCTCTGGATAAGAGCGTCTGCTAAATGACTGAAATGTAAGTGTATCTTTTTATTTGAAGGATTCTTTCTCGCTAATGAAAGATAAGGGCCATATGTTTCGAAAGCCATATCGCAAGTGATGATTATTGACGTTTCTAAATGTTAAAATACAGCGTTGGGATTGTAGTTCACATGAGGTAGTCATGGGCGAAGCTAATGGCTGAAACTGTAGGGAGAAGGTAGAATGCCACCTAGAGTTTGAGATCTCCCTGCTGCTGGTCACAAGTTAGCTAACTAGCTAGGTAGCATTTTATAGCCCTTATTTCACGTTTGTTAGATCTGACATGTTTTTAGATGGGTTGAATGTTAACCGAATTCACCACATGTCAACTATATGTTATCGTACAATGTTTTGAAGGTGAAAAATAAACTTACGTTGTAACTTGCCTCTAGCATTAAGGGAAAGCGAAACGATGGACTTGTTCTATATTTTGAAAGCTTATGGAACTAAAAATGTCAGGTTAAGGGTCTGCACGGAGGGCATTGCGTCGTGCCTAAGAACAGCCCTTAGCGGTGGTACAGTATATTCAAAGATTTTTAAGACTAAACCAAGACCACATCCTGTCGTTTCCAATGGGAACATATTAGTCATAGTGGGCAGAACAAGCAAGGAGGTGGGCAGAGCCAAGCACGAGCTAGCGAGATCCTATTGGCGTGTTCTAGCATGCATCTGCATATTTCCGTTAGGGAACGCGTCCTCTGTGAAGTGCACATGTGCAATAACTCAATTCGCCTTTTCAGTCCTTCTAAACAATGCGATTTTTGCAAAGGGTAAAGTCTACAAAACTTAGTCCACTCTGTTTATAACATATTCTGGTCTTGGGAACCGAAAACTGTTTTGACATCAAATGTTTAGTCGATGAGAACATTTGCAGAATGTCGGCCAAAATCCATCTACTCCCACTGCCGGTGTAACAGATGTTAATCGTACTCTCCTTGCGTTGTGTTTAGTTCAAAGAAATAACCCCAGCCAGTGGTCCCAGTTGATCGTTATTTATTATCTGTTATTAAATAGGAAACAGCATGTTAGTTGTGCAGGGCTTAATGATGTTGATGGCTGTCGATGGTAAAATCCCTTGCATCACATTTTCATACTGGGGCATAAACAAAATACAAAAATACAATACAAAATATAACGTGTAAATACCTGTTAGTAAATAGGAAACAGCACGTTACTTGTGCAGGGCTTAATGATGTTGATGGCAGTTGATGGTAAAATCTGTAGCATGAAAACAACTGTGTTAGCAGTGAGCTTATGTGACCATTAAATCGGTGCATGCTAACAAACACACTTATATACAGCAGTCATCTACCAAAGCACATCCCAGAAATCCCCTCAATCCCTAACAGGTACCATATACCCACACATGTATAAATCAGGAATGTACAGCAAACTTGTACACATTGTAAAATATAAACATAGAATACAGTATTCAGAACGTGACCTACCCCTTGCATCACATTTTCATACTTGGGAGACCTGACGTTCGCGATCTCCCTATCTGCAAGCGGGGCCAATAACAACACGCCTTATTGTCATCGGAATTGAACCAACCAATAAGAGTCCGTGAACATTAAATACACATTTCTTTAGAGGCAAGTGGAAACATAACCAACCCTGTTACACCGGCCAGTGGCTCCCTCTCACTACCATATTTGGTTGTGAGTGGAAACGCCAAGCGGATGCTTCACATTTATACAATCAGTGAAATATCTGTGGTATATTGGCCACATACAACCACACCCCCTCGGGCCTTATGGCTTAATTATAAACTGGGTGGTTCGAGCCCTGAATGCTGATTGGCTGACAGACGTGGTATATCAGACCGTATACCACAGGTATGACAAAACATATATTTTTACTGCTCTAATTACATTGGTAACCAGTTTATAATAGCAGTAAGGCACCTTGGGGGGTTAGTGGTATATGGCCAATATACTATGGCTAAGGGCTGTATCCAGGCACTCCGCGTTGCATTGCGCATAAGAACATCCCTTAGCCTTGGTATATTGGCCATATACCACACCCCCTCGTGCCTTATTGCTTAATTATACCATGGCATTGTTGAATACTGGTTTCTTATTGGCTTGAAGAGCATTCTAGAGCATGCATTATTTACCTATAACTCACTGTATTGTTGCACTGTAGAATTCAATGGTTATAGTTCATTCTTACATGTTCTATGTTTGAGCTGCTTTTGAAAGCAAACGTCGAATTGAAAACATTATTGGCATTGTTGAATTCGATTTTCATAATGGCAAGTTAGGACTGATGATGGTTTGGTTAACTAAACTACCAAAGTCTGTTTGTTTGGTTACCACGGCAACTACTGTAGCTATCTAGTAAACTTGCTAGCTACTTCAGTGGAAGTTGAACACATTTCTAATGGCAAATGAACACTTTTCTAGCAGCAAATGTGTTAAATTATAGCCATGATATAAAAGGGATAATCAACTCGATTTACCACGTGATCAAAGTTCCAAACCACGTGGTACTTGAAGTTGAATAAAAACATGGAGGATGGAGTGGATCAAAGAGGCTGCTGTATTTTTGTGTTCTGATTTATCCAAATATTACTACTGTTAGTTTGGCTAGCTCGTTGCCTTTCTTGGGAAGAATTTAAGCAATATATTGTCTCTAGTGACAGGTTCTAGAACTCAGTGACGGTGTTTTAGGCGGCTCGAGGAGGAGCAGCAGCAGCAGCGATGGAGTGGTTCGGGACTATAAACTTCCCCATGTTACCAGACGAAGAAGAGAGCTGCAGTGCCTCTGCCTCTTCTGTACCAAGTAACGGTAGCTTTTACCGCACTTCACTGCAGGTATTGTGTGGCTAAATGCCAATACACTTTTACCAATTGCCTCGTACTAGACGAAGCAATTGGGGGAGCTAGGGAGCTAACGTTACGTCAGTCATCCAGGAAATAAAGGCTTATAGCAACTAGCTTAGGCAAGCCCCCCCCCCCGTTGTTAGCTAGCTAGTTAGCCTGCTGCTAGCTATTCGACACCCTTGCCTGATGATCTCTGATAATAATAGCTGCAGTATGCGATTAGCTAGCTAACAAGTCAATTTCATTACATGAAGTCAACAATGGAAACGAGTATGAGCTAGTACTGTTGAGTCCATCTGGAATGACCAGTGCAACTAACGTTAGCTAGCTAGCTTGCCTAATAAATCAGACTGTGTGTGATAACTACCTCTGTAGATTTCCGTACTGGGATTCGAAAGAGGCAACTAGCTAGCTCTAGATGAGTCTGCTATTTCAGCAGAACGACTCTAGACATTGTCATTGCCAGGTTTCACATCAGCGAGTTTTCGCCGGTTCTTAACTCAGCCAAGATAGCGCCATTGTAATTTGGAGTGGCTTACCAATATTACACGGCGAATTGATCCATAGAACACTGTTACACCATATACTTCTCAGTAGTACTTGCTGTATTGTTGCTTTAGCCAGTCAAGCTGTAACTAGCAACATACTTAGCTATCCCAGGTATGTGTGTCATCTCTATTCCCTGAAGTATCCATACAGTATTGTCTTGATAGCTGTAGCTAGTGGGTGGTACATGTTGTTGTTATTATTATCTTGTTATGCAAAGCTACACAACCTGTGTTTTTACATGTCCAGATGCACAACCATTGTACACACATCGCCCTAACAGAGTTAACTGCAATGCATCATCAGGAGGAGGAGATTTCAGCTGCAATGGAGGATGGGCAGTTTTTTGGGAGCCCGGAAAGATTTTCTGATATCAGTAATAATAAGCTACTGTCTTCTTATCCTCTGTGACCATGGTGGTGTAGAGAGTATGGCATCTCTGTCCCAGAGCCAGCAGCAGAATATAATATAAAGATGCTTGGATATCAGTTGTTCATAACCTCTTCTCCCCTCTGTGACCCCAGGGTGCAGCTGCATGTCCATGGCATATTTGTGCCAGAGCCAGCATCAGTGTGTTAAAGCCTCCATCAGTTGTTTCATAACAACCTACTGTTCTTCCTCTCTGTGACCAGGGTGGTGTCGTTGAAGAGGGCATGGCATTAAGTATGGCGTCTGCATCAGCAGACAGTATGGCGTCCCTGTGCCAGAGCCAGCAGCAGTGTGTGAAGGCCTCCATCGTGTCCAGCTGGCAGCTGGTGGAGGCTCAGGACCAGCTGTGTGGGCTGGAGCTACACGGCTCTGAGAGTGTTGAGCAGGAGCGTGCCCGCGCCATTGCCAGCCAATCAGAGCTCTCCCAGACGGAACAAGAGTGGCTCCGGAAGGAGAGCATGCTGGGTGGCAGCAGAAGCCCTGTGCTCAGTGCTGACAGCAGCCGGGACGTGTTTGACAAGGTAACTATGGAAACCTACACACACATTGAAACACAAGATAAACATACCACATTAGATGTCCCTGACAATAATAACAGGGATGCAAACTTGCCACTTTTCGGTGCCATTTGCCATTTTTATCTCAAAATGGGCAATCCATGTGAATCGTGTAGATCCGTTTTAAAATAGAAAAAAATTGGGGGGTGGGGGGTCTGACAAAGTGCGCAGACATAGTGTATCACCCATTGAGCTATAAAAGAGAAGCGCGAACAGATCTTCTCCCTGGGAGAATCTCAATTGCATGCTGATAATGGTGCCCTCAACATGCTGTCAATGTAAATAGTAATGGTGGCCATTTTTATTACACTGCTCAAAAAAATAAAGGGAACACTTAAACAACACATCCTAGATCTGAATTAATGAAATAATCTTATTAAATACTTTTTTCTTTACATAGTTGAATGTGCTGACAACAAAATCACACAAAAATTATCAATGGAAATTAAATGTATCAACCCATGGAGGTCTGGATTTGGAGTCACCCTCAAAATTAAAGTGGAAAACCACACTACAGGCTAATCCAACTTTGATTTAATGTCCTTAAAACAAGTCAAAATGAGGCTCAGTAGTGTGTGTGTGTGGCCTCCACGTGCCTGTATGACCTCCCTACAACGCCTGGGCATGCTCCTGATGAGGTGGCGGATGGTCTCCTGAGGGATCTCCTCCCAGACCTGGACTAAAGCATCCGCCAACTCCTGGACAGTCTGTGGTGCAACGTGGCGTTGGTGGATGGAGCGAGACATGATGTCCCAGATGTGCTCAATTGGTTTAAGGTCTGGGGAACGGGCGGGCCAGTCCATAGCATCAATGCCTTCCTCTTGCAGGAACTGCTGACACACTCCAGCCACATGAGGTCTTGCATTAGGAGGAACCCAGGGCCAACCGCACCAGCATATGGTCTCACAAGGGGTCTGAGGATCTCATCTCGGTACCTAATGGCAGTCAGGCTACCTCTGGCGAGCACATGGAGGGCTGTGCGGCCCCCCAAAGAAATGCCACCCCACACCATGATTGACCCACCGCCAAACTGGTCATGCTGGAGGATGTTGCAGGCAGCAGAACGTTCTCCACGGCATCTCCAGACTCTGTCACATGTGCTCAGTGTGAACCTGCTTTCATCTGTGAAGAGCACAGGGCGCCAGTGGCGAATTTGCCAATCTTGGTGTTCTCTGGCAAATGCCAAACGTCCTGCACGGTGTTGGGCTGTAAGAACAACCCCCACCTGTGGACGTCGGGCCCTCATACCACCCTCATGGAGTCTGTTTCTGACTGTTTGAGCAGACACATGCACATTTGTGGCCTGCTGGAGGTCATTTTGCAGGGCTCTGGCAGTGCTCCTCCTGCTCCTCCTTGCACAAAGACAGAGGTAGCAGTCCTGCTGCTGGGTTGTTGCCCTCCTACGGCCTCCTCCACATCTCCTGATGTACTGGCCTGTCTCCTGGTAGCGCCTCCATGCTCTGGACACTACGCTGACAGACACAGCAAACCTTCTTGCCACAGCTCGCATTGATGTGCCATCCTGGATGAGCTGCACTACCTGAGCCACTTGTGTGGGTTGTAGACTCCGTCTCATGCTACCACTAGAGTGAAAGCACCGCCAGCATTCAAAAGTGACCAAAACATCAGCCAGGAAGCATAGGAACTGAGATGTGGTCTGTGGTCACCACCTGCAGAACCACTTCTTTATTGGGGGTGTCTTGCTAATTGCCTATAATTTCCACCTGTTGTCTATTCCATTTGCACAACAGCATGTGACATTTATTGTCAATCAGTGTTTCTTCCTAAGTGGACAGTTTGATTTCACAGAAGTGTGATTGACTTGGAGTTACATTGTGTTGTTTAAGTGTTCCCTTTATTTTTTGAGCAGTGTAATTGTTCAGCAGTCTTATGGCTTGGGGGTAGAAGCTGTTAAGGAGCCTTTTGTATCTAGACTTGGTGCTCCGGTACCGCTTGCCGTGCGGTAGCAGAGAGAACAGTCTGACTTGGGTGACTGGAGTCTTTGACAATTTGGACCTTCCTCTGACACCGCCTAGTATATAAGTCCTGGATGGCAGGAAGCTTGGCCCCAGTGATGTACTGGGCCGTACGCACGACCCTCTGTAGCGCCTTACTGTCGGATGCCGATCAGTTGCCATACCAGGCGGTGATGCAACCGGTCAGGATGCTCTCGATGGTGCAGCTGTATAACTTTTTCAGGATCTGGGGACCCATGCCAAGTCTTTTCAGTCTCCTGAGGGGGAAAAGGTGTTGTGCTCTCTTCACAACTGTCTTGGTGTGTTTGGACCATGATAGTTTGTTGGTGATGTGGACCCCAAGGAACTTGAAGCTCCTGACCTGCTCCACTACAGCCCTGTCGATGTGAATGGGGGCGTGCTCGGCCCTCCTTTTCCTGTAGTCCACGATCACCTCCTTTGTCTTGTAACATTGAGGGTGAGGTTGTTGTCCTGGCACCACACTGCCAGGTCTCTGACCTCATCCCTATAGGCTACTGTTGTGTCACCAGCAAACTTAATGATGTTGTTGGAGTCGTGCTTGGCCACGCAGTCGTGGGTGAACGGAATACAGGAGGGGACTAAGCACGCACCCCTGAGGGGCCCCCGTGTTGAGGATCTGCATTGCAGATGTTGTTGCCTACCCTTACCACCTGGGGGCGGCCCGTCAAAGTCCAGGATCCAGTTGCAGAGGGAGGTGTTTAGTCCTAAGGTCCTTATCTTAGTGATGAGCTTTGTGGTCACTATGGTGTTGAACGCTGTGCTGTAGTCAATGAACAGCATTCTCACATAGGTGTTCCTTTTGTCCAGGTGGGAAAGGGCAGTGTGGAGTGCAATAGAGATTGTGTCATCTGTGGATCTGTTGAGGCGGTATGCGAATTGGTGGGTCTAGGTTTTCCAGGATTATGGTGTTGATGTGTGCCATGACCAGCCTTTTAAAGCACTTCATGGCTACCGACATGAGTCCTACAGGACAGTAGTCATTTAGGCTATGTGATCATACTCTCCGTGATCGCTTTCTTGGGCACAGGGACTATGGTGGTCTGCTTGAAACAGACTCGGTCAGGGAAAGGTTGAAAATGTCAGTAAAGACACTTGCCAGTTGGTCCGTGCATGCTCTGAGTACACGTCCTGGTAATCAGTCTGGCCCCGCGGCCTTGTGAATGTTGACCTGTTTAAAGGTCTTGCTCACATCTGCTACGGAGAGCATGATCACACAGTCGTCCGGAACAGCTGGTGCTCTCATGCATGCTTCAGTGTTGCTTGCCTCGATGCGAGCATAAAAGGCATTTAGCTCGTCTGGTAGGCTCACGTCACTGGGCAGCTCGCGGCTGGGTTTCCCTTTGTAGTCCGTAATAGTTTGCAAGCCCTGCCATATTTATTTATTTATTTTTATTTTACCTTTATTTAACTAGGCAAGTCAGTTAAGAACAAATTCTTATTTACAATGACGGCCTACACCGGCCAAACCTGGACGACGCTGGGCCAATTGTGCACCACCCTATGGGACTCCCAATCACAGCCGGTTGTGATACAGCCTGGAATCGAACCAGGGGCTCTGTAGTGACGCCTCAAGCACTGAGATGCAGTGCCTTAGACCGCTGCGCCACTCGGGAGCCCTATATCCGACGAGCATCAGAGCCGGTGTAGTAGGATTCAATCTTAGTCCTGTATTGACGCTTTGCCTGTTTGATGGTTCATCTGAGGGCATAGCAGGATTTCTTCTAAACGTCCAGATTAGTGTCCCGCTCCTTGAAAGCAGCAGCTCTAGCTTTTAGCTCAGGGCGGATGTTGCCTGTAATCCATGGCTTCTGGTTGGGGTATGTACGTACTGTCACTGTGGGGACGACGTTGTCAAGGCACTTAATGAAGCGGTGACTGATGTGGTAAACTCCTCAATGCCATTGGATGAATCCCGGAACATATTCCAGTCTGTACTAGGAAAACAGTCCTGTAGCATCATCTGACCACTTCAGTATTGAGTGAGTCACTGGTACTTCCTGCTTTCGTTTTTGCTTGTAAGCAGGAATCAGGAGGATATAATTATGGTCAGATTTGCCAAATGGAGGGCGAGGGAGAACTTTGTGTGTGGAGTAAAGGTGGTCTAGGGTGTTTTTTTTATTTATTTCATTTCTCTGGTTGCACATGTTACATGCTGGTAGAAATTTGATAAAACGGATTTAAGTTTGCCTGCATTAATGTCCCCGGCCAGTAGGAGCACTGCTTCTGGTTGAGCATTTTCTTGTTTGCTTATGGCCTTATACACCTCGTTGAGTGCGGTCTTAGTGCCAGCATCGGTTTGTGGTGGTAAATAGACGGCTACGAAAAATATAGATAAACTCTCCTTGTAGATAGCGTGGTCTACAGCTTACCTCAATACTTCTTTAATATTAGGCATCGTGCACCAGCTGTTATTGACGAATAGACACACACCCCCACCCCTCGTCTTACAAAGACGTAGCTGCTCTGTCCTGCCGATTCACGGAAAACCCAGCCAGCTCTATATTATCCGTGTCATCGTTCAGCCACGAATTGGTGAAACATAAGATATTACAGTTTTTAATGTCCCGTTGGTAGGATGGTCTCGATCGTAGATAATCCAGTTTATTTTCCAGTGATTGCACGTTGGCCAATAGAACGGATGGTAGAGGCAGCTTACCCACTCGCCGACAAATTCTCACAAGGCGCCCCGACCTCCGTCCCCTGTATTTCCGTCTTTTCTTCACGCGAATGACGGGGATTTGGGCCTGATCTTGGGGAAGCAGTATATCCTTCGCATCGGGCTCATTAAAGACAATCTCTTTCCAGTTCAAGGTGACTAATCGCTGTTCTGATGTCCAGAAGCGCTTTTCAGTCATAAGAGACTGCAACATTATGTACAAAATAAGTTACAAACAATGCGAAGAAAAAAAAGAAACGAAATAGCACAGTTGGTTAGGAGCCCGTAAAACGGGCCTAGCCCGAACCATGAAAAACAGCCACACACCATTATTCCTCCTCCACCAAACTTTACAGTTGGCACTATGCATTCGGGCATGTAGCGTTCTCCTGGCATCTGCCAAACCCAGATTCGTCCGTCGGACTGCCAGATGGTGAAGCGTGATTCATCACTCCAGAGAACGCGTTTCCACTGCTTCAGAGTTCAATGGCAGCGAGCTTTACACCACTCCAGCTGACGCTTGGCATTGCGCATGGTGATCTTAGGCTTGTGTGCGGCTGCTCGGCCATGAAAACCAATTTCATGAAACTCCCGACAGTTATTGTGCTGACGTTGCGTCCAGAGGCAGTTTGGAACTCGGAAGTGAGTGTTGCAACCGAGGACAGGCGATTTTTATGCGCTACGCGCCTCAGCATTCGGTGGTCCCGTTCTGTGAGCTTGTGTGGCCTACCACTTCGCGGCTGAGCCATTGTTGCTCCTTGATTGTAGATTCTTCAAAGTAGCCACCCTTTTGACAGCTTTGCACACATTTCCACTTCACAATAACAGCACTTACAGTTGACCGGGGAAGCTGTAGCAGGGCAGGAATTTGACGAACTGACTTGTTTGAAAGGTGGCATCCTATGACGTTGCCACGTTGAAAGTCACTGAGCTCTTCAGTAAGGCCATTCTACTGCCAATGTTTGTCTATGGAGATTGCATGGCTGTGTGCTTGATTTTATACACCTGTCAGCAATGGGTGTGGCTGAATTAGCCGAATCCACTCATTTGAAGGGATGTCCACATACTTTGGTGTGTGTACCTCACAAAACAGACCCACTAAATCTCCCTCAATGGCCACACCTCAGACTCCGCTGCAATGATACATGGTGTCCCCCAGGGATCTGTGCTGGGTCCCTTACTCTTCACCTACATCCTCCTCCTTAGTCAGATCCTCCGTCACATCAACCTTGACTTCCAGTGCTATGCCGATGACACCCAGATTTACCTCGGCACCAAATCCCTCCTCATCCCACCTCTGACCCACATTGAATCCTGCCTCCCTGCAATAAAAACATGGATGCCACAAAACTTCCTCAAAACGGAACTGTTCCTCATAGGCACCAAATCCACCCTCACCAAAGTTGGCAACCTCACCATTGACGACCCCACTGTCTCTCCCTCCATGCACGCAACTCTGCGTCACCCTGGACTCCACCCTCTCCTTTCACCACCACATAAGACAGACTGTCAATGTTGCGGCGGTGGAAGAATGAGGATTTGACAAAGTCAGGTCCTCCCTTTCCCATCCTGCTGCTGAAACCCTCATACATTAATTAATCTCAGCTTGACTACTGCAACACGCTACTCTTCGGCATCATCTCAAGCTCCCTCCATAAGTTCCAAATGGTTCCAAACTCTGCAGCCCAACTCCTCACCCACACTAAGTCCTGGCAGCACATCACCCCTGTCCTCCGTGAACTCCACTGGCTCCCTGTCTCCCAACACATTGATTACAAGATCCTCCTTCTGACCTACAAAACCCTTCACCACCTCTCAGACCTTCTCCCCTACCAACCCACACGCTCACTCTGTTCCACCACAGCAGGCCACCTTGTCATCCCCAGTCGAAGTTCCAGAGCTTAGGCGACAGGGCCTTCTCCTAGGCTCTGGAACTCCCTCCATTCAGCCATCCGTGACGAGTCCATCACGATCTTTCAGTCCCTCCTAAAGCCCCACCTCTTTGACAAGGCCTACCCTTAAGCCTTTGACAAGGCCTACACTTAAGCCCAAAAATACTGAATAGCAGTTTGGCTTTGAATACTGACACCACTGCAAATGCAAACAAATGAATGCAAACAGAACAAAACAGCGGTACCAAGTAGGCCTAGTAAACAAAATGTCAGATCGATGAAGGTCTATATTTAGGCTAGCTACATTAACAGTAAACAAATGCAGTAAACAAAAGGCAAATGGAGATCCAAATAACCAAAACACAGCCTACTACAGTGAGATGAAGCCATGTACAGTTGTCTTGCCAAACAAATAGCCCTATAGGCTCGCTTCAGACATGGAAAATCATGCCGCTCATGAGTACAGCAACAGGTTGTGATATGGCACAATACACTTCTGTGGATTAAATTAGACCCGGGTAATCAATTAAGCAATGCTAGCCTACCACAAACATGTTTCCAGAGTATTGAGATTGTTCAAATATGTATTATGTACTTGTTATTCTCTGAAAATATGCAAAAAAAATGTTTCCTTTTTGGACCCTTGCCAGTTTGCATCCCTGATAATATACAATTGCGATTCGCCCTAACAGTCTGGAGAAAGATTACATGTGTATCTCCTTGATTCCTTATCAAAACACATTGGAGGAGGAGGATGTGAGGAATAAAGTGTTATGGACTCGGTGTTTCTCTTCTCTTTCTCCTATAGAGTATTATTAATGCAAAAAGTAAAAACGTTGAATTGGAAGATCACGACAAGAGCAAAACATTTGTTCAGAAGTATGAACAAGAATTTAGACATTTCGGTGAGTGAAAGGTTTCATCTATAGCTTGGTTTAATATTGAATTATGCAGATCCATGGATTGTAATAGCTGATGTCACTAGTGTGGAGTACGGGCTGGGTGTGGATGTGGTATTGGTCCGATGTCTCTATTGTGATTGGTCAGGCATGTTGCGGAGGTGGGATGACAGCCAGCGCTTCCTGTCTGACCTGCCTCACCTCATCTGTGAGGAGACAGCCAACTACCTGATCCTCTGGTGCTTCAGACTACAGGCTGAAGAGGTCAGAACAATCACACGTACACTGTTCTGTGAATTTATTTGCTACTAGTATTTGATAAAATATATTGTATCTAACAGCCAATGTCATCCTTATGTTTCCTGTCCAGAGTTGATGCATAAACAGTTTTTTATTTTTTTTATTTGTAATTTACAATGAGCATTTATTTTCAGCATGAGATTTGTATAAATGCCTTGAATTTGTACGAGGTTTTATCAATAAGGCCCACCAGAGGGTGCTATTCCATATGTATTCACAGTGAGTCAAGGCTGGACCTCCTGCTTAAATGCCCCCATCAGTGGAGTGGATCTGGGCTGTAGTTCCGGCTGTCCTCCAGTCATTCTGCCATCTTAATTGCTGCCATCTTAGTAGGGATGTCTGGCGCCATTATCGAGGTGTTTTCACCCCACCTCGACAGCTACTCACTGGAATAATGGGGGGGGCAACATGTGGAAACTAGGTTGAACTCACTGTCTGCATACAGTCAGTTGTTTCTAATGTATAATAAGCACTCCATATTTCAATATCAACCACAGTATTTCAGTTGGTCACTGGGGCATCTATTTGAGACTGCTAATGTGCCTTTCATTCCCCTCCCCATAGTGCTATGAGACTCGGTCAAAAGTAGTGCACTATTAAGTGAATAGGGTGTCAGAATCTGGTGAAAGGCCTCATCTCCCCCTACCCTCACCCCCTGCTCAAGGGCATATCAACAGATTTTTCACCTAATCAGCTCGGGGATTTGAACCAGCGACCTTTCGCTTACTGGCCTAACACTCTTAACAAGCTAGGCTACCTGCCGCCCCGATATTAGAGGTTGTTGTAACAGTGAAAGGTTCCATCCTGTCCCCTTTCCCCTGCCAGAAAGAGGCCTTTAAAATATACAGTACCAGTCAAAAGTTTGGACACCTATTCATTCAAGGGTTTTTCTTTTATACATTGTAGAATAATAGTGAAGCCATCAACCTGAAATAACACACATGGAATCATGTAGTAATCAAAAAAGTGTTAAACAAATCAAAATATATTTTAGATTGTAGATTCTTCAAAGTAGCCACCCTTTTGACAGCTTTGCACACTCTTGGCGTTCTCTCAACCAGCTTCATGAGGCAGTCACCTGGAATACATTTCAATTAACAGGTGTGCCTTGTTAAAAGTTAATTGTGGAATTCCTTTCCTTCTTAATGCGTTTGAGCCAATCAGTTGTGTTGTGACAAGGTAGGGGTGGTATACAGAAGATAGTCCTATTTGGTAAAAGACCAAGTCCATATTATGGCAAGAACAGCTCAAATAATTGATTTTGTTTAACACTTTCTTGGTTACTACATGATTCCATATGTGTTATTTCATAGTTTTGATGTCTTCACTATTATTCTACAATGTAGAAAATAGTAAAAATAAAGAAAAACCTGGAATGAGTAGGTGTGTCCAAACCTTTGACTGGTACTGTGTATATATTTTTACAGTTCAGGTTTACAAACATTTTACTTTATAGTATAGCCTACACAGACTTGATTTGTGTTATACAGATGAATTCACATTTTCCCCCTTTCTGATATTATTTTCAATGTTTTTATTCAACCACAGAAAGAGGCGTTGATGGAGCAGGTAGCTCACCAGGCTGTTGTTATGCAGTTTATCTTGGAGATGGCCAGCACCTCCCAGCAGGACCCCAGAGGCTGCTTCCGTCAGTTCTTCCACAAAGCCAAAGTAAGCCTCTCTCTCTATCCTGGGCCCGGTTTTTGATGGTGATGGAACTTATGCTAACAAGTGTTTTTTTAACAATGCATCGTAAAAATAACGGGCAACGAACTCGCACCCATTTCCCAAAAGACCACGCGGTACACTCGTTACAAAGTAAAACTTAACTGTGTCGTTACAGGAGCTGTTCTGTGCTGAAAATGATTCCAGGATATAGGCGTAAGAGCTCGCTGTAGCTCTTGAATGATTTATGGCTATTCAGTCTTTTTTTTCTTTTTTTTAATCCTTTTTTTTTTTTCTCACAATTTTCCCATCAAGAGAATAAATGCTCTGTAGCCTATTATGTATTTGTTTGTATTATATGTTTGCCTTGTGTTATGTAATCTAAGTGTTTTCTTATGCTATTTTGTATGCAATGTTTATGTAAATTCTGCATTTCTTCCATTTGTGTAAACTGTGAGCGAGAATGATTTGAAGTCAAGTTCGCTATAGAAAATATCAATGTGACCTAAAAATAAGATATGATGACAATGGTTTTTGTAATTGCTCAACAAATCATTGTATCCTAATGGCAGGCAGGAATTGAGCTTCAAGTAGGGCTACAGATATTCTACAATTAAATAATTAAACCATTAAAATAATTAAACCTGATGTAGCAAGTTAAGCTTTGTCATTGACCTAATATGTTGGCCTTTAGGTTATTGGTTAGGCTACTGTGAAATGCGTGAGCTTTTAGATAATGGTAGCCTATAAGCCTAATGGATACGAATATTGAAGCGGCTCATGTGTAGCCTAATGGCTTGATATTAGGTAGGTATATCGATTGCACATACATCAGGGATGGGCAACTGGTGGCCCCCTTTTTGTAGGTCCTTTTTATTTTTGGGGGGAACTCGTCGGTCTCAACATACTGTTCAGAGTAAGAATAATAGAATACACAAGGTGCAATTTTGAAATTTGGTTGTGCATCAGCAGGCACTCAATTAGCCCATGTCAGCATTTATTTATTGGTAAATGAGTCTAGTGGCCAGAAAAACTAGTAAGCATGGTCTAATTACCGACCGGCGTGGGGCCGGTTATCATATCAGTTATCATATTAAAAACTGCAAACATTTGCCTCCACCCTATGGAAAAATGTGTAGAATTGCAGGAAAGTTACTTTAAAACAAAAAAACGGTTCTCTTCGCTGTCACAAGGGGGGCCGCTAAAATATTTTGCTAGCGAGGTGGGATAGCTGGATGTGGGTACGCTGACCCACTGGTGCCCCTCATGATGAGTTCTGCTTGTTTGTGGCCTCCAACCCATCAAAGTGGCCCATCCCTGACATGCATGAAAGTGATGTCAATATTTTGCCTAATAATCTAGCTATTATATAATTTGGTTGTCTCGTTTTCATGAAGAAATGTATCCTTGCTTTGCTTGTTTATAACATTGCAAAATGTTTAGGCTATTTACACTGAGTGTACAAAACTCTTTCCATGACAGACTGACCAGGTGAAAGCTATGATTCCTTATTGATGTCACCTGTTAAATCGACTCCAATCAGTGTAGATGAAGGGGAGGAGACGGTTTTGGGAAATGGCTTGGAAATCAGCCTTGGTCTGTCTGCTGAGTCACTGTCGCGTCATTATACCATAAAGTAATTTTAAGAAACATTGTTCACCCACCGTCTAACCAGTTGTTATTGATAAGCTAGGTTAAGGAATGATCAAACTTTTACATTGTAATTTATTGACCAAACTTGTTTTTACTGGTTATGTTATTATGTAACTAACATGTAATTCACAAAAAAAATGGTTTGCTGGAAGAAGGAAGGTGTACGGACAGTGATGTAATGTGGTCAGATGACCACTAGCGAGACAGGAGTCAAGACAAAGATTCCTACAACACAAGGCAATGATATACAGCTACATGATTTCATGCCAAAACACTGTTGCATTCATGTCAAAACATTGTAAGCATTTCTGTGTGATTGCCAGTCTGACATTTTGATACGATTCTAAGTTCCTTCTGTAAACAGAAGCTGTATGGTTTCATGCCAAAATACGTTGCGTTTCTCATCTGTAAACATTTATCTATAACTGACACTGTTTTAATATGCCATTTAGAAGACATTTGTTGCATCTCAGTTATGATTCCATGTTCCTCTTGTCAACAGAGAATGATCAAGTGAATATACTTTAATGCTGTTGCCATTTCTTTCTATGTAAGGCAGGACAAGAGGGGTACTTAGATGTCTTCCATACTGAGCTAGAGGCCTTTAAGCAGAGAGTAAAAGAGTACACTGTCAAGTCCAAAGGAGAGACACTCCCTAACGATACAGAGCACCAGAGCAGCACAGCACGCTGTCGTCTGGACCCCAAAGAAGTTCTAGAATCTTTACCCCCTGTAAGTATTCGGAATGGCATCATTTACACGTATGGAAAGTTTGAAACATTATTTTTTAGTAGACCTTAATTCAAAGGTATTTTAGAAGCTGTACGTTCTGATATAGGACCGTATATATTCACAAAGTAGTACATATGTATGATTCTATTCCTATCATTCTGGAACAGGAACTGAAGTCGGGGTTCCAGCTGCAAGACATGCAGATTCTCCAGAATGTTCTCGGCACCATGAATCCACAGGTATTGGCTACAGTTCTCACTACAGTTTCCACAGAGTCAGACACTTACTGTAGGCCTACATGAGAATCAGATCTGTTTATTCAGCCACACATATTATTTGTTGATTTAAAAAAATTTCTTATATGAACATTGATTGAGATAACAGATGGAAATATCCCAAGATACCATAACCCAAGTTCATGCTCAAGTTCAAGCTGTGCGCTCTGTTTTTTAAACCAAAAGTAAATTAACAGTCAGTGCATTGCTTTAGAACATAATTCCTTTCTGGAGAGCGAGTGGGAGGGAGTGAGAGTTAAAGAATGAGATCACCCCTAACTGGCCATCTAAAGTCTGACTTCCTGCCAAATCCTAACAGACGGAGGGAAAATAAACAAATGTCCTCTCCTCCTCCACAAATTATACTTAGTTAGCAGCAAGGGCTTAGTTGGAAGTCTAGATGTGGGCCAATTAACTCCTGTTACATAAGCATTATAATCTGCTTGAGCAGCACAGTGTGTTAATCCCTATTTGCATCCCAAATGGCACCCTTTTCCCTATATAGTGCATGACTTTTGACCAGAGCCCTTGGTCAAAAGTAGTTCACTATATAGGGAATAGGGTGTTATTTGTACTTTCACTCAGAGCAGACGGGTCTACTCTCCAACCCTCTCCCCCACAGGCTCACGAAGCGCTGGGCCTCTATTCACAAAGAGTCTCCGAGTAGGAGTGCTGCTGATATAGGATCAGTTTAGCCTCTTAGATCATAATGAATGAGATTATATGGACGGGGTTGGACCTGATACTAGATCAGCACTCCTATTCTGAGATGCTTGTTAAATACGGGCCCTGGAGAGTTGTTCACTGGAGTTAAACATGGCAGACTCCTTTTAGATTGAGTGCTGCTGAAAGATGTTACTACGGTGAACTTGGCGATCGGGAGTTATCAGTGTTAGCTATCAGATACCCCACAGAGCAGGTTGATCAGGGTCGCAAACTACACTTCCAAGGGAGCAAAGTGAACATAGAAATGAACTTATTGTATAAGTGTGTCTGCTTTCTTCTTTAGATGAGTTATGCCTATCTATACTGCAATAAATTGCATTATTATTTTTGAATTCTCTCGTGAGTTGAAGTTGCCCTTACATGCTGTCTCTGTTTGTACCACCAGGTGGCAGAGTACCATGTGAAGCGCTGTCTGGAGGCTGGCTTGTGGACTAACAGAGAAGGGAGATGGTCCAAGGAGGACACTACTGTAGAAACAGACGAGCTGCGCATGATGGAGACATAACGAATGTGGTGCAAGAGCCCTCCTTCTCCCCATCATCTCCCTTCTAGGAGTTAATGACACTCTCCAATAGAAATATTACAAAATGGAGGACAAAGGGCTGAGCTCCCACAGAGACGTATTTTTGTATGCTGCAGAATCTGCGCTGGAATGTGTCCTGCACTTTGTTCAAAACAAAAAAATATTTAAGAGGAGACGATTGGTAGGTATTTTGAGGCACTTACTGTACCTTTGCTTATATCGCTAAAGTAAATCTTCTGTCATATCTTGATTGTTTTAGCAGAGTGAAACTGGCTTTGGAATCTTTACACAGGAATTTAGAAGAGCTACTTCAGAAACCTTTGAGGATTTGTTTTTATTTTTTATTCTTGTTTATCAAGCGTTAAGAGTGTGAAGGGAGTTAACGTTTTTCATCTACAGTAGGTTTCACTGGACTCCCAACACAGTCCTTCCCGAGTAGGAGGGGGAAAACCTGAGCATTATAATAAAACCCGCTCTTGTTGTAAATAAAAGTACACATTGTTTTTGAATTGAAGAAACAAAAGGCCTGTTCCTGGACTCATGGTTCTGCAGTGGGCATCTCCAACATGCTGTCTAAAACTGCTATGACACTAGCGTATGTGGTGAAAACTTTAATAGAAACTGTGCTCAGTGCTCATTTCAACTCCTGTGTGTGTCCAGTTTGTCATCAGTAGGCCAACGTTGAATGCTAATATACTACCATGGTGTAGCTATGATGACTTAACTATGCAAAGTGATCAGTTGGCTGTTGTACTGAATGATATTGTTTTTGTTACTGCTTGTCACTTAACCTCAACCAACAACCGACCCTCCAAAATGTGTCCGCCTTTCTATGTCCATCACAGAATAAGCTTCTCAACATGTGTATAGCTGCTAAACCTTCTCACAGAATTGATTGTGAAATAGAAACAAACCGTAAAACTTTCTGGCTGACATAACGTGATCACATCCTGGACTCCGCTTCAGTGCTCTGTTTGAAATAGAACAGCTTTAAAACAACTATGTGCAGGGGAAATGGTTTTAATACCTTAGGCCTACCAGCCATATTAGGTACTTAGACGCTCTGCAAAAGTCTAATAAAGTAAGCATAAATGGAAAGCTGTTTGTTGCTTTTCACTATTTTTTGTTTTTCTTTATTGTTACAGTATTATTTTTTAACAGTTTGTCTGAATACAGTCTCTTCCAGCAAGTGAGACTATAATACACTTATGAAGTAAAGGTTGAAGGTTCATAAAAGTATATTATACACATTTAATGTAATTATTCCTTTCACTGATCATTGAAGTACAGATAATGTGCTACAAAAATACTACCTATAATTAGCTGGTAAGACATTCAGCATACATTTTCAGTATAGATTAATCAGATTACAAATATATACTCCCAAGGCAAGGCCACAGTCAGAGCAAATACACACATCGTAATTAAAACTAGGCATCAGCTAATTATAGCTTTTTTGATAAAATGTCTCTTATTAGCCTGGCATTCAAATATAATTGATGTTTCACTTCACGGGAGTGCAGCATTCAGTCTGGTTTAACCAGACTAACAATTTAAAATGACAGCTATTCTAAACTACTGCATTTCTGGTTACACATGTTTCACTACAATCAGTGTGGTCAGTCATAGGCATTAAGTCTTTTTTTATCAGTAATTAATTGCATGGTGATTCACATTTTATCATTTAAAAGCGACATGATATATTGTCATGTCAACAAAAGGCACTTGGCCCTAAAGATTGATTAATGACAACTTCACATAATATAATGGCACTTTTCCCTTTAACCCATTATAGTTGTCCTGTCCACAGACAGACCAAGGACTGGTATGAATTGGACACAAAACCACATCACCTGGCAACAAGCTACAATACATATGGAATAGCCTGGTCTGGTCTTAGATCTGTTTGTGCTGCCCTGCCAACTTCTATGGTCATTGTTTGGCATGACTATAGAAGTTGGCCAGAGCGCAAACAGATCTTGGACCAGGCTACATATGGAATGAAAAGAAATAGAATGTGACATTAGTTGAATGAGTGGTACTCATCAACCTATGTTGTAGTAGTAAATGACATGGTCTTGTATAGGCACTGAGATGCTGTTACGTTTTGGAACAAAGACTTGAGTCCCATTTAAGTTGTGGTAAACTGATCCATCCTTTTCCCGGGAGTGTATTCTATGCTTTCCCAACAACCTTTTAATTTTGTGGGGAGAGTTTTTTGGACAGGAAGGCCTGAATGTGAGGCCAAATCTCGTTGGTTTCCGTTCCTGAGAATGTCTCCAACACCCCTTTACTCCTGTTGTTAGAAACAGACATTAGTACCTCATGACAGTCATGACAGTTGTTATCATAATAAACATAAGCAGTGAACAGGGTCATTTTCAGTAGGTAAAACACTTTTGAAACGGGGAGGTACTACCTACATTTTCTCCAATCAGAACACATTTCTGCAAAATGTTTTGCTGCAGTATGCTCTACTGAATGCAACCCAGTTCTCGGTTACATAATACTTTCAAGATTGCCAACATAGATCATTCACTGTATAACAAAGGGAAAGAAATCACTGTACAGTGTAAAGCATTCACTGTCTGGTCTGCTGTCTGAACCTGAATCCTTTGTTACATTCCCAAGATATTTCAGTTCTCAGACTGGCCTCTGTAGTAGGGTTTAATCAGCTTAATCTTCCTGCTATTAATTTACCAGTGATGAAGAGCCCCAACATCTATGTTATCAATAACTTGGACGCTATAACATCCTATGTACACAGGGAGCTCTGACTAATGTTTTCCTTCTTTAATTGGCCACTGAAATATGTAGATATGATTTTCATCCTGACATTCAGACATGCACTTACAAATTTGAATTTAGATGCATAGCTATTTAATTGAGATTAATGTCAGTTTGTTATGCCCCCTTATGTCCCAGCTTTGAAAGCTCAGATATACAGTAAGCCTTAAAGCCTATGATGACCCGAGAAGAGCCACTGCAACGTTATTACGCAGTTACATCTTATATAATGTAATAACTAATATCAAGGTATATAAAATGTGTTGTAGAATGACTGAAGTATGTTTGGGACAGAAACAAATACAGTATATACAGTGGGGGGAAAAAAGTATTTAGTCAGCCACCAATTGTGCAAGTTCTCCCACTTAAAAAGATGAGAGAGGCCTGTAATTTTCATCATAGGTACACGTCAACTATAACAGACAAATGGAGAAAAAAATTCCAGAAAATCACATTGTAGGATTTGTAATGAATTTATTTGCAAATTATGGTGGAAAATAAGTATTTGGTCACCTACAAATAAGCAAGATATCTGGCTCTCACAGACCTGTAACTTCTTCTTTAAGAGGCTCCTCTGTCCTCCACTCGTTACCTGTATTAATGGCACCTGTTTGAACTTGTTATCAGTATAAAAAACACCTGTCCACAACCTCAAACAGTCACACTCCAAACTCCACTATGGCCAAGACCAAATTGTAGACCTGCACCAGGCTGGGAAGACTGAATCTGCAATAGGTAAGCAGCTTGGTTTGAAGAAATCAACTGTGGGAGCAATTATTAGGAAATGGAAGACATACAAGACCACTGATAATCTCCCTCGATCTGGGGCTCCACGCAAGATCTCACCCCGTGGTGTCAAAATGATCACAAGAACGGTGAGCAAAAATCCCAGAACCACACGGGGGGACCTAGTGAATGACCTGCAGAGAGCTGGGACCAAAGTAACAAAGCCTACCATCAGTAACACACTACGCCGCCAGGGACTCAAATCCTGCAGTGCCAGAGGTGTCCCCCTGCTTAAGCCAGTACATGTCCAGGCCCGTCTGAAGTTTGCTAGAGTGTATTTGGATGATCCAGAAGAGGATTGGGAGAATGTCATATGGTCAGATGAAACCAAAATAGAACTTTCTGGTAAAAACTAATCTCGTCGTGTTTGGAGGACAAAGAATGCTGAGTTACATCCAAAGAACACCATACCTACTGTGAAGCATGGGGGTGGAAATATCATGCTTTGGGGCTGTTTTTCTGCAAAGGGACCAGGACGACTGATCCGTGTAAAGGAAAGAATGAATGGGGCCATGTATCGTGAGATTTTGAGTGAAAACCTCCTTCCATCAGCAAGGGCATTGAAGATGAAACGTGGCTGGGTCTTTCAGCATGACAATGATCCCAAACACACCACCCGGGCAACGAAGGAGTGGCTTCGTAAGAAGCATTTCAAGGTCCTGGAGTGGCCTAGCCAGTCTCCAGATCTCAACCCCATAGAAAATCTTTGGAGGGAGTTGAAAGTCCGTGTTGCCCAGCGACAGCCCCAAAACATCACTGCTCTAGAGGAGATCTGCATAGAGGAATGGGCCAAAATACCAGCAACAGTGTGTGAAAACCTTGTGAAGACTTACAGAAAACGTTTGACCTGTGTCATTGCCAACAAAGGGTATATAACAAAGTATTGAGAAACTTTTGTTATTGACCAAATACTTATTTCACCATAATTTTCAAATAAATTCATTAGAAATCCTACAATGTGATTTTCTGGATTTTCTTTTCTCATTTTGTCTGTCATAGTTGACATGTACCTATGATGAAAATTACAGGCCTCTCTCATCTTTTTAAGTGGGAGAACTTGCACAATTGGTGGCTGACTAAATACTTTTTTTCCCCACTGTATATATACAGTACCAGTCAAAAGTCTGGACACACCTACTCATTCAAGGGTTTTTCTTTATTTTTACAATTTTATACATTGTAGAATAATAGTGAAGACATCAAAACTATGAAATAACATATGGAATCATGTATTAACCAAAAAAGTGTTAAACAAATCAACATATATTTTATATTTGAGATTCTTCAAATAGCCACCTTTTGCCTTGATGACAACTTTGCACAGTCTTGGCATTCTCTCAACCAGCTTCACCTGGAATGCTTTTCCAACAGTCTTGAAGGAGTTCCCACATATGCTGAGCACTTGTTGG